GTAAGCGAGCGGAGGGTGTTGGCGGGTTTGTGGGTGGGTAGATACGGATGTGTGGGTGATGCCAATGGATGCTGTGTGTGTGTAACGTGGCGAATTTAGGGGTCTGGGAATTGACGTCAGCGAGGAAAAAAAGGACTCAAAGAAAAACAACTGCCAGAACCCAATTTTTTAACAATAATATTATTAAGCTGATTCAGACAGAATTAAAATGTATAATTTTCACATGTCTGTAAATAATTTCTTGAATTATTCAGCGCAAATATTATTAATACAGTTTCCCAATTACCTTTCACCCTTATTATAATTAAGCAAAATCAACTTACCTTAATGGTTATTGCTGCCAGAAACTTTAATTTGTATTTGCGCTTTAGTTTTTTAATTTTTGTTTTTTTATGTAGCTCTCGACACAATCAAACCAAACCGAGTGTCCTTGAAGGCAGAGCAGCAATTGAAGCGTAATTATTTGTTACGGCGCATTTCCTTTTGGCCGTCTCGTGGCGTCGCTGGCCAAATGCCCGGAACCAGAATCGAGACTGAACCCGAACTCGGACACCTCCAATACCAGGAATCCGGACGACGTAACTTGGCACTGGGTCAGTGGCAGCGTGGGACTTGTTGTTGTTATCCCTGCTGTGATTGGTGCGGTGCTGCGTCTGTGTCTCTGTCTCTGTGAGTCTAAGCCAAGTAATCAGAATAATTACATGGCCCTAATGGCAAACGAGGCAGTGGAGGCGCTGGCGAACAATTCAGTCGGGATGACAAAATACTAGCTGAACACCACAAACAAACAAAAAAAAAAACAAGAAGGATATCGACAATTCTTGCAGGTCATTCGGGGAGAGGGAAGCAGACATTTCCGGCAATAATATTGCGTACTTGCAAGTGCAAATGAAAGTTTTTAGTGTCTATTTAGTGTCTATCAGCTAAATTACTATATTTATACCCCTGCAGGGTATTATAATTTTAGTCTGAACTTCGGCTTCCTTTCTTGTTTATATAAGGATAAGGACATATATTAAAAATTAATGACTTACCCGCAGTAATTTTCTAGACCACGATCGCTTCTAGGGCTTATCCGCAGTAAAGGACACTCTGTTATATTTCATCTTGACTCCGCAGACTTGGCTGAGATTAATTCCTTCGATTGAAGAGATTTTTGGTGTTTCTGCACGAATTTTATATAAACTTGCACGTTTCTAGCGAAGCGACATTTTTTCGGGAGTCATCTTGAAGGGTTGAGATGGACACGTCACAGGTAAACACGAGGGGAGGCAAGCACACGTGTTACTCGGGGGTAGGGGCGCACTGAGGCTGCGGCGGCAGAGGGGCCTCTATGTATAGGCAGCTAGAGTGAGAGAGAGAGAGAGAACAAGAGGTTGATCGAGAGAGATAGAGAGGTACATAGATTGAGTGTGAGAGAGGTAGGCTAGAGCTGACGCTTGAGCTAGAGGGAAAGTGAGAGAGAGCCATATCCTAATGGCAAGTCATCTCTCTCTAACTTTGACACTCTCTGTGCCCCTCTCTCTCTCTCCCTCTAGCTCTAACTAACTCTAAGTCCACCTCTCCCTCACCCAACCCAATCGGATTAATTTTTTTTTTTGAATAGTTGATTAAGAAAATGGCAAACTGCAAAGGTATATAAACTTCGTCTTGCCGAACTTGACTTGTTTTTATTTAAAAAGTATACAAATCTATTATTAAACTTTTTTTATTTATGGGTTTATTTTGTATATTTTTTTGCCATTTTTTTTTTTATTGTTAATTCATAAAATTTCAGCACAAGATTAGTTATATGTTTTTCATTAAATTAAAACATTAAATGATAATACAGAATTAAAGGGTTTTTTAAAAGTCCCAAGGACAGAAGTCTGTTGTTGTTTTCCTTTTGAATTTATATATTGTTTATTCATAGGCAGATCCCAAGATATTGTGTTTTTCAACCAAAAATATTGTCCCTATTTTATGATTGGTTTTTGTCGCTCACTTGTCCAACCGAAATAAAATACAGCAACAAAAACAAGCTGGAAAGCTACCTACGAGTGTGACCGACTGCGAGATACCTAATATTAAGTTTTTATTTTAAGTTCAATATACACAGGAACTTTGTTATTCGGTCAAATAATTGTATACGATTTTTTACTATAAAGCAAATTCACTCTAATGGCTTAGCTGTGGATTTTTTATTTGCTTTCTCCGTTGGCACTAAACTATAATACCCTATGGTTAGGGTATAATAAGGAATGGGGGAAAACAACAACAAAATCAAAACAACCGGCGGCAAAGCGATAACTAGTGATACGAGCGTGACACGAGCAAAGTGGAAAACCAATCACGAATCATGATTTGTTAATATCATTTGTTGCTAACTAATCACTAGAATGTTACAACAACTTGTATTTATATTGAACTCCAAATCGTACTTGCATATATGTAGTTGTTTGCTCAAGAAAAGCTTCTATTATATTAAGTTTACCGTGAGGTAGTTGCTCATCTCCAATCGGAGACACCATATGCCGGCAAATTAATAAAACAAATCGACTCACAGAGGCAACCGCAGCACTAACTTCCACATTTGCCAACAACAAATCCCGCGCCCATTTTGTTTTAGTTTAACCACAAAATGTTTTCAATAAATTATAATAATATTACAGCTTTTGTCCAAAAACGTACGCGAACCGGCAAATTTACGAGAATTACTATAAAGCGTCGGAAAAATCAAAACAACTGGCGTAGCACCCGTCCGCACTCGGTGAAAGTTGTTTGGGAAATTAACGTGTTTTTCCTTGCGCGCAGGGATGTCACTTTTTTCTGAACAAAAAAGCTGGAAAAGCTCGTGGAAAAAAAGCTCTAAAAAGGCTTTATAAAAAGCTTTAATTATGGTTAGGGTATACGTATATCCTTTTCCTCCGCTTCGCTTTTGCCGATCAAAGCAAGAAGAAGACACGAAAGAAAGGCGAAAACTAACGGGACTGGCTTAGTTCGCTGGCGTGGCCACGCGCTCCGTCTCACTCGCACCCGCACTTGCAATTGGACTAAACTAAAACTGAAATAACACCGAACTCTACGCAGTCCGGGCAAAGATTTTTTCGGCTTTCTCCGGGCATTCATTTTTCCCATCACAGAGAATGTTTTCCCGCAATTTTCCGATCGTTTTTCCCCGTTTTAAGCCCGTTTTTCGCAGGAGCGCACTTTTTTCCTACCGAACAGTTTTTTAGCGAAAAATGGAATGAAGGAATGGCGAAAAGATGGAGGCTGCGAGAGAGCGCTCTCTCTTCCAGTTTCCCCTCTCCCGCTCTCTGGAGCTACCAGGAGCGCGCTTTTTCCTATTGAACAGTTTTTTAGCGAAAAATGGAATGAGGAGGAATTCCGAAACGGAGGGATTTGCAGACGGCGAAAAGATGGAGGCTGCTAATAAAAAACACACAAAACAAACGAACTACACTTTTTCGGCCGTTTTTTAAGCGTTCTATACATTTTCCCCCTTTTCTGCGCTTCGCAAGCGCACTCGCACCCGCACTTGCAATTGGACTAAACTAAAACTGAAATAAAAATACAAATATATACTTGTATAATAAATATAAATATATATATTTAAATATATCAATTCACTGCGTTGCAAACTTAAATTATAATACCCTGCAAGGGTATGATAAAAATGAAAACAGAGCGGATCGTGGTTCCAGAGCGCGGGAGAGTGGAAACTGAGTGAGAGGTTCGCTTTTTCGCAGCCTCCAGCTTTCCGCCATTCCTTCATTCCATTTTTCGCTAAAAAACTGTTCGGTAGGAAAAAATAGCGCTCCTGCGAAAAACAGGCTTAAAACGATCGGAAAATTGCGGGAAAACATTCTCTGTGACGGGAAAAATGAAAGCCCGGAGAAACCCGGAAAAATCTATGCCCGGACGGCGTGGCGTTAGGTTTTATTTCAGTTTTTAGTTAAGTCCAATTGCAAGTGCGAGTGCGAGTGAGACAGAGCGCGTGGCAGTTCTACTGAACTGGGCAAATCCCGTTAGTTTTCGCTTTGCTTTCGTGCGCTTCTCCTTATTTTGATAGGCAAAAGCGAAGAGGAGAAAAAGAGTAATTAAAAATGCGAAAAACTGACAAAAAACAGTCGAAAAAGTTCCGTTCGTTTTTGTTGTTGTTTTTTAGCTGTGGTTAAAGTGCAAAGTGTCGGTAATGTGAGCAAGTCCCGTTAGTTTCCGCATTGCTTTCGTGCTCTTTTCCTTATTTTGATCGGCAAAAGCAGAGAGGAGAAAAAGAGTAAAGAAATCTGTGGGATCCTCTTTTTTTTTTTTTGTTTTTTTTTTTTGCAGTGGTTAAAAAGAAAAAAATGGCAGTAATTTTTTAAATTATATTTTGGTGTATAGATTTCTAAATAAAATTGAGAAGGAATAACTACGTTTGGACGCTACAAACACTTGGTGAGTTAATATAAATATTGCTTTCTTAAAGTTTGGTTAGTTTTATTGTATATTGCTTTTCTCTCTTTCTGTCCCTGCTTTACTCTCATCTCAGACTCCATTTTTTTCTTGTTCGTTTTTGTGTTTCTGATTCTTGCTCTTGCAAACAAACCATGGACTCTGCTCTCTTTCGGTAAAGAGATCCTGGAATATGATCCACATTTGTGGATTTCAAGCTTCAAACACTCTTTGATTGCTCGACTGCAAATTATTTGTACAGAGAAATAAACATAAATCTAATTTAAAAACTTTAAATAATTTATTTATAATAATTTAGTTTAATAATTTAGTTTATAAGAAAAAAGCTCTAAAAAAGCTTTATAAGCAGATTTTTTCGGGAAAATCGGCAATGATATACTATTAATTTTAATTTAAAAAACACATCTTTAATTTTCTTTTAATTCTTGTTCATAATATTTTTACCTTTTTTTATTTAGTGTGACCAAAAAGTAAATATCAAAAATATCTTTAAAAAATATCGATGTTCGATATATCAGGTTACAAAAATAACCTCTTTTTATTCATAAAATATCGATATTTTTCACATCCCTAACCAAGATTCGCAGGCTTGCCACAATTTTTCCGTAAAATTAACAATTAAAAATTGCAACAAGGAGCTCAACTCCAGCACTTGAGAGCTATGGCTATCCAGAAACCGTCGGAAGAGTGTATTGTCCACAAGGTGTGCTAATTAGCGAGAGCGCAGCGGCAAGTGAACAAGAGTGAAAATTGAATGCGTGTGTGTGTGTGCATGTGTGTGGAAAAAGTGCGCGTGTGGGGAGAAGAAGAAAAACGCTGAAAACAGCGGCACGGCACGCTGTAAACAATTTTGCGAATCCAAAGATTATGAATATTGGGACCCACTAAGCCCCAGCAAAATGACGGAAGCCTTCGACGAGGAACTGTTCGAGACTCGCCTGGAGGCGCTGAAGGACACGCAGGAGGGCATACAGCAAATGTCAAATTGGTGCCTGCAGCACCGCTCCAACCACAAGAAGATCATCCAATGTTGGCTTAATGTTTTCAAAAAGGGTGAGTCCTGGACTTGGTCCCCCTTGATGCTCAAGGCTAATGGCAACGGTGCTTTCTCGTTCTGGCAGTTCGCGTGGACCACCGGCTGGTGCTCTTCTACCTTGCCAACGATGTTATCCAGTACAGCAAGCGCAAGCGCTACGAGTTCGTAGAGTGCTGGGCTACAGCGCTCCAGAGAGCCACCACCATGGTGCGGTAAGTACATCCAAAGTCATAATAATTAAAATTAATTAATAATTAATAATCCATTTCCCTTAGCGACGAACGCGTCAAGGACAAAATTCTAAGAATTTTCAAGATCTGGGAGCAGCGCGAGATCTATAACGAGGAGTACTTGAGCGACCTGAGCGGCCTGCTCAACATAGCGCCGCCCAAAAAGTCCCAGATCGATGTCAGTGACGAGTTCCAGAACGCCACGCTGATTGCACAGATGCGGGAATGCGTCGAATTGGCCGAGTCCACGGACAAAAGCATGAAGAAGCTACCCAAGCCGCCTACCTTTGAAATCGAGGTGATCAAGCAGCAGCTCAAGGACAAGAGCCATTCGGGCGACATTGAAAAGGAGGTGGAACGGTGCGTGGCCTTCATTAATGCGTACAACAAGAACCTGCAGAACGAGATTAAGAGCCGCAAGGCGGTCCTGGTCAGCCTGGAAGCTGCCAAGAAGTTTTACGAACACCAGGGCAAAGAGGTGAAGGTGGTGGCCAGTGTAAGATAAATACAAATTTGAGTTTTAGCTGGATTTATTTACTTTTGATTTAACAGGCCTACAAGAGCTTCGGCACGCGCATAAAAATCGTAAAGCGAAAGCTGGACGAGACCATACCCACTCTGGCCAGCCCCATTCCCTCGCCGGACATCAATGCACCCTCCCCAGAGCGAGACGCCGACCTGCAGCTGCCCGAGGAGAATAACACGCCGCTGGGCATGGTAATTGGATCAACAAATAAAAGGGTATCCCTCATCCTTGGTAATAATCCTTTTCCCTCGCTTAGAGCCTCTTTGGCGGCGGCTTGAATGGCTTCTCCAGCTACCTGGACGGTGGCAAGCTGCCCTTTGACATCAATGACTTCAAGCGGGACTCGAAGGACAGGGGCAGCGCCATAGAAGTGATCGGTTCCCGCTCAGATGACGAAGGCTATGTGCCGAGTGCCAATTTCTACAAGCCCGAGCCCATCTCCGGCTCTAACAGCAGCGCCATACCTGGTCTCGGTGGCGGCGGAGGATCCGCCGAGTATACACCCAATCCGCCCCTCTTCAGCTCTAGTGGCAGCCAAGAGCAATATGTTCCGCCGCTGCCGTCGCATCTCTATGGCGGCAGTGGCAGTGTCGGCGGTGGAAGTGGCCTTCCGGATGCGCAGTACACGCCAGCGCCGATGCCACCGCCCCCATTGCCACCGTCTACGGACCCCGCGGATGATTTCAACAGCACCTGGAACATGAGCATGTCGTGGACTCCGCTGGACTCGAGCCTAAACAGTAGCGGAGCTAGCTCCTCCTCGTACCCAGCGAATCCATCAACACCCCGCTCGCCGCCGCATTTCGAGCGAAAAGGCAGTGCCACATCCGCGCCCATTGAGTACAATGAGCATCTGCCCGCAGGGCTGGGTGCCGAGGATGTGGACCATCGCACCCTGCAACTGCCGCCGGCCTTTGACTTTGGCTCTGCCAAGTTGGGCCTGAGCAAGGACAAGTCCCGGCAGCTGGTGGATATAGATCATAGGAACCTGATATCACTGACGGGATCGCCGGGCGGAGCGGAGAAGGTAAGCCTTATATGTATATACATTAAAAGTGTTAAAAAAGGAAAAAGAGTTCAAAGCGACAACTTTAAATATCGAAAGATATTGTATTTAATGTTTTAAAAAATCCCTAAACTATGATGAAATACCTAAACAATCTTATTTTAATTATTTGTTTTTCGTTTGATTATATTGAATATATATTAAATAGCCTTTTTTTTTAATAATTTAATTTTATATAAAAAAAATAGTTAAAAAACGAAAACTTTAAATATCTTTTCCCTTCCTTGCAGGACTTTGCTGGCGGCGATGTGGACTATCGGATTGTTCCCAATCCCAATGACGAGGGCAGCCTTATGGCGCCGCCTGGCAACGGGAGCTATGCCAAGAGCAAGACCAGCTCGCCGCTTAAATCGAATGCCAGTACGGGTCTATCAGATTTCTTAAGGTTTTGCAATCCATTTTTTTAATATTTCCCCAATAAGCAGGCTCCTCCTCCGAATCGGACCGCGTGGATGGCGCTGCCCGGTATGATCCCGCTGATATGGTTATCGATATGGATATGTCAGACGACGATATCGACGAGTCATTGAGAGGTAATAACTTTACATTAAACTTACCCTAAAGCTATAATAAAAATCCAATTTAGAGCCAAAGGATAATCAGGCAGAGGCTGATGGCGACCGCAATGGAGCAGCCACGCCTTCGCGCCCTGTTTTGCTGGAGACGCCGCAGGACTTCCTGAATCCCTGGGAGACGACTGGTAACAATAACTTTTTGCAGGACGACGAAGATGCCGAGCAGCTGCAGCAGCGGCAACACCAGCAGGAGCTTCACCTTCAGGAGCAGGAGCACCATCATCAGGAGCATCATCTTCAGGAGCAGGATCATCATCAAGCGCATCTCCATCAGCAGCAGCCCTGGAATCAAATGCCTCCAATGCACATGGCTGGCAGTGCTCCTCCTCCGCCACGGCCTCCCTTTGGCTCACCCTTCGCGCCCTTCCAACGCTTTCCGGGACCACCAATGATGAACAACGGTCCCGACGGAATGCCGCCACGCGGCGGTGGGCGCGGTGGCCGTGGCCGGGGCTGGGGTGGGCCGGGACCATTCAGGCCGCCATTTCAGAGGATGCCGGGACCAGGATTCGATGGCGGACCACGACCCTTCTTCCCCCGAGGCGGAGGTCCGATGAGAGGACGGGGTCCCAGGCGTGGTAAAGCGTGGATGATGTAATTACGTATTCTAAACAAAAATGAGAGAAAAGCTGTCTCTCTCGGTTTTAGTTTTTAGTCTTCAGCTTATCTCAGCTTTGATTTAAACATTTAAGATGGAAAATGTATTGTACAGGACAACACACTCACACATTACACTTTTAGTAGCCTCTAATTTATGGGCGGGACGTTGGCCGCTATTGGATTTTAATTTTTTTATAAAAATGCTTGTTTCGTTTTTTTACCTTTAAAAAGCAATATATAAAATTATGTCTAGCGAAAAAGTTAAATAAAATTAATCCCACAGCTGCGTCGTTGAGGTGTTTTATTGTGCTACAAATCTGACTACTTTTAAGGATCCCGAAGAGCCAACGTCCTGCCATGACTTCACTTTGCATCCTCTTAGTTTAAGTTTAGAGTGTTGCCTTAGCTTTCTGTAACTGCTAAGTCGCCATTGCTGCTAGTTTTTACCTTTTACCTATTAGGAATTGTAAATAATTATAAACCTAAGTCCAAAATATAATTTCTAAACACTTTTCACTCCCTTAACGGAAATATACATATATTAAAATCTTCTTATAAACTCGTTAATCTGTTTTAGTAATGAAAATTATCCAGATAATTACCAACCTTAAAATAAATGCAATAAAGTTTGATTTCATTTACTATATATTTACTGGTAACTTTTAGGCACATTTTATGGATTACCGGATTTTGCCAGATAAGACTATTCTATAAGCAAAAGACGCTTATTAGATTTTTTAATTAAATGTAATTCATTAATTCATTTTTTCTGTTTCACTTGGACTTTAGGACTATTATTATTTAAATTTTTATTTTATTTTTGTATGTATTTATTATTTAACATTTTTTCATTATTTAATTTTTCTTTTTTAATTTAAATTTGTATATATTTAAAATTTTTTAAAACATGGCCAAGTTAGGTAGTTCAACAATTTAGCGTAATTTCATATTCAAACAATCTAAACAATTATACATATATTCAACAAATTAATAATTTAAAAATAAACATTTTTGACAATTAAAAACTTAATTATATTCAAGAGCATGAAACCATATTATTTCGAAATATATTCACAATTCCTTCATATTAAATATATCAAAAGATTAATATTCTTTCTTTTTGTGCAATATTCTATAAAAAATGTACGGACTGATTACAACCTTTACTCGAATTTCTCACACCATCTTAGGTTATTTTCATTACAATTTACATAAATAAGTTAAATCATTTACAATATAAATAAATTAATATGTATTGTGAGGAGTGTTTTAAGTAATATAAGTATTAATATAGATTGAGAAGAGTATTCAATGTAAGATTCATGTTAGACTTTTAGATGTACGAATCGTGGTAATATATAATTAAGAGTTATATACAAAATACAAGACATGTGATATTCGGAATCTAGAACGGTGCCTTCAGTCCTTTCCCATTTATTTACAGCACTTTATAGGGCTCAACCGGATCCTTTTGGGTTCCTTGGATCCTCCCACAACTCTCAGAGCACTTACAAATGACTATGTTTAAATCAATTTCCGAAGGATCTAAACGGCGGCTCTGTTTATTCTTAGTTCTTACCTGTTGACGTTTGCGGTCCTTAATCACTTCTGTTTTCTCTGGATTTCCCTCCACGTTTTGTGTGTGGTGTGTCGGAAGTCGGAACTCATCAATTCTCGCCGCTAACTGATGTTTTGGTGGGTGTGGCACACTCCCTACTTAGTCCACAGGCCTTACTAGACTCATCTCTCCGGCATCAAGTGGGGATATCCCTTTTTGGAATTAGTTAAAAGTGTGGCGAATGTGAACAAATGTTGAGCAGATCTCTGGATTGATTTATGGAGGGAATAAATAAGGTATTTAAATAAATGTAGTAGCGGGTGTAATATTTGAAACACAATATATTTTGTATAATAAATACTTTAATTATAATTTTAAAAATATTATTCTTCTTCGTTAAAGGACTAGCCAATTTTAAACACAGATATTTTATATATTATAATTAATGACGTTTCTTAATAATGTTTGACCGTGCGACTTAAAAATATTTAAGTTTACATATAAAAAAATACAAATATTTCATTTGGCCTATTTTTTAAAATTGACAATAACAATAAGAGAATGTTCGGGAGGCCGAATTTTGTATACCCTTGCAGTTTGCCATAGGCTCATGGCATCCAATCAAAAATCTATCACAATTAAGTCAAAAATGCACTTATATCAGTTTGTAATGCTTTTCTGTGCTAGTTTCTACTAGGTTAAAAAATCAGCATACTGAATTATAAATATTGGGAAATCAAAATTTTTGTTAATTTTCGAGAATTTTAATGATGTAACGATGTAACCCCTTATAAAATTTTGAAAAATGTCAAAAAATGTTTTTCTTCCAGACATGACTAGAAAGACGCGCCTGTCAATGTGGATCGGAAATGACTGCTTCCCTAAATAAAATCAAAATACCCTTCCGGAAGTCCGGAAATATTTTAATTCCTTAAGTGGACATTTTTCATATTTTTTATAGTAATTTTTTAAGCAAATCCAAGTTTATAAACTGCATTACTTAGCCAAAAAAGCATCAAATTAACTTCAGAAAGCTTTTCTATGCTAGTTTTTTCTGGGTTAACAAATCTCCATAATTTAGTATAGTAATTTTTTAATAAATCTATTTTTTTTTTTTAGATTTTTGACAATTTAAAAGATGTAACCCCTTATCAAATTTTGAAAAATGGCAAAAAATGTTTTTCTTTCGGGCATGGCCAGGAAGGTGGTTCGCCTGTTGATGCTAATCAAGAATATAAATGATTTATGGGGTCGGAAATGACTACTTCACTGCCTTGCAAATATCTGACTAAAAATTAAATACCATGTAAGGGGTGTGATTATAAAATATATTTATGGAATTTGAATATTAAAAAAAATACAGCTTTGTATAATTCATTTCTCAAAGGAAAAATAAACTGTTTTAAGTAATGACAATTATAAAAATACGCATTGCTAAAAATTCAAATCCTAACTAATATATAATATAAAAACCCCACCTTAGGCACAATGAAATATTGTTAAAATTGTAATTATTTTATTATTATTAAACTAACATTAATTACAACTATGATAATAATTTTAAAACTAACAGCCTTTATAAGTTTTCCACTAGGTTTTCGTTTCCGAAGTGTTGCTACAACACAGCCCGCTAGAAGGGACATCCGCCAGACGAGAGGAGGAGGTTTCTTCCTCTCAGTAGTCCCTGGACAGTAGCGTGACCAAGTCGCCGATGTACGCCTGCGCCATTTGCAGCGTCTCGTACTTGGATAGCCGCCGGTCATGGCCCAGCGAAGGCACCACATCCCTTAGCTTGTCGAAGGCGTCGTTCAAGCTGTTCATCCGTCTCCGTTCGCGGGCATTGGCCGCCAGTCGCCGCTTCTTCAGGACCTCGCCGCCGCACGGGGAAGGCAAGGAGCTGCTGCTAGCGGAGGAGGCGCAGGATCCTGACGAGGAAACAAAGGCGGAGTGCTTTTCGTATGGTTTGCTTCGCTCCTGCTTTGCCCAGTACTTCGTGCTCCTGGCTCCCTGGCTCTTTCCCAGGTGATGGTGTTGCTGCTGCTGCTCCTGGACACTCAGCATGTGCTCCAGCTCCAGAACAGCCGGGGTGTCGTCGTAGTACTGTTCCATGGAGCAGCTGTTGGCGGTACCCTCTGATAGGCTATCGCCGCTGCTGGGGCTGAACTCCTGCTGGTACATGAACTGCTCCAGCTGCTGAAAGGCGTCGTTGCCCAGGAACTCTGGCAGGACGGGTAGTGGCGAATCGTCGGCGTAGTAGAACTGCTCCATTAGCTCGTTGTTGTTGGTCAGCATGTTAACGTTCGAAGGCTCAAAGGACAACTGGAGTTGGCTAGCAGAGGACTCTGGCTTAAATAGCCGTCGAAGCCGTTCTGTGATTGGCCAAGCCTCTTACCTGCTGCGTCTTACCTGATTCGCTGCAGATCCCTTCAGGTAACCTGGCTCTCTTGAGGATCAAATCCCCAGAACGTGCCCTAAATTGGCTTGCGGTCAAAACGTTTAATTGCCTCTCTGACTCTGCGACTCTCTCCTTCGGACAGGTATCCGTCGCCGACTCCCTTTGTGTGACCTGTCACTGGCCACCAGCAGTAATGATACCTCTCTTTTGTTGCATTTGGTTATTCGCACTGAAATTACACTTTTTATAGCCAAACAATTGCTCCCCAAGGTCAGAATATGCGAGATCAAACAATAAGAGGGACGACACCTTTCTTGTGGGAATCTTTGCCATTCCTCTTCTGCCCCCTCGCCAAGGGTCCTCTGCCACCGTTGGGTCACAACGGTTGCATGTCTGTGGTCTAGTATAAGTACATGTTCGGGGCTTTTGGGGCTCTTGCAGCAGAGAACAAAGACAAGAATTCCGGTGTGCGGTTTTCAACTTTCGATTTTAGGTGGTAGCTTATTGGGTCAAATGTAAACATTTAAGTGGCTTTCTCCCAAAATTTAAGTTAATCCGAAAGGACTGAGCGATATTCTAAAGTGTTTAACAAACCAACATTTACTTAACAATAAATGGAATAAGGAAAATATTAAAAAAATGTATAAATATATTTATAAAAATATTAATATTTATATCACAAAGCTATAATATTTTAATCCTTTTATAATAATGTGGATATTTTAGGTCGAAGTTTAAGTTAATCCTCGCTGAGCGATATTATAAAGCGTTTAACAAAACAACATTTACTTACCATTAATTACAGCCCGCAAAATATAGAAAAAACACCCATGGCTTGATCTTAATATTTATATTATATAGTTATAATATCTTAAACATTTATTATTAATTATTTAATAATTGCGACCATTAGGATGTGAATATTTTAGGTCTTCTTGGTGGCATCTGAAGGTCAAAGATTAGAAACAGAAATGTTTGGCCTAGTAGTGAGGGATTCCTTATAGAGATTTTAATCAATTTGCAAAAGGTATACAAACTTTGGCTGCCTAAAGATAGCTTCCCTTCTTTTTATATTTGACATTTTAAAGTTTTTCAAAATCTTTAAAGTATTTGAATTAGTTGTATATTGGAAATATTTAATATAACAAGATGTTGTATCATTTTTTGTACATTCATACATATTTTAAATAGTATAATAAATTATGAGGAAGTTCGTCTGTAAATGCTGAAGAGGCTATGGCTATATGTAATGGCCAAACCAATTGAATTTTTGGAGATCTCGACTTATGTGTTGGCAACTAAATATCGAGTAAGGACAAAAGTTCATACAACAGATAACATTTTCATATATTAAATATGTATATAAATATATTATATGAATATTATAAATATTAAAAAATATTTTTAAAATGTTAAAAAATAAATAAATACATAAAGAATAATGCACCACAGTTTGTTAATCATTTAAACGCTCTACTTGCACGGGCTGATCCTCTTTTGATAATACCCAGACAGACTCAAGCCCACTTTCAAGTGGCCGCATCGAAAGGCTAATTGACTCCACAGACTCGCAGCATTAAGGAGGAAAATCAATTCGAGGAGTTCGCTGAGTTTCCAAGGAAAACACTGGCCCAAAAAGAAGCGCCGGGCATGGCTAAAGGATACAAATGATCCCACTGCTGCTGGATGGTCCAGATTCAGGATACTCTTCACCCAAATTGTCAAGACAAAAAAGAGAACAAAGTTCGGGGGCCGACAAAGAAGTCTGACGTTTGATCTGGACGCGGCGATGATGATAGCTGATGGATCGGCAGGGACTTTGCCACGCGACCGCAGCTCAGGCCAAGTGCGATCCCGGATCAAGCATTATGCTGCAATATTTTTTCGGGAGAAAGGTTCGCGGATAGCCTAAAGATCGGCAACGCCCTTTCTGGGTTTTCCAATTAGCATTTTGCCTACCTGGGATCCCCAGAGAGGTTTTCTCCAGGGTCCGGCGGAGGCCCTGTCAAAATAGCAACAATAGGTAGTTGGTCGGTAGGCGGTTCTGGTTGAAAGTAGGCAACCTTTTCGGCCGGGGCACACAATAGGCCAACTGATGATAATCCTTCGCCGTGTTGCGTGTTTCTAGGGCTTCCCCTCTGTCCCAGGATTAATCGTTTTCGTTTTGCAGATTAGCTGTTGGCGCTAAATTGCGAAAATGCGATTAGAAAAAGTCAAAAGGAATTCCATGGGGATCTATTTTCTATATATTCTTGTACACTTGTTGAGCCTTCTTCTTTTGTAATAAAATCTTGAACAATGGAGCGATCTTTGCTGGTTTTTGTTTGGTCTCTATTGTTTTTTTAACCATTGTTTCCCAAATTACCATGTAATATCCTGGAATTATGGAATATTATACATATGCAACGATTTGAATGTTTCTAAGTAAATTACTTGTGGTCCAGGACACACAGATGTGCAAAAATCGGCAGACAGCGTGTCTGTAGACAGCTTAAAATGCGTTTTAGGAGAGAAAAAGAGGTAAAAAGAGATATTAAATAAATTGGTAAATCTGTACTATATCTAATCTTTGCCGATATATGTACAAGAATTATATATTCTAAAATATATATAGTATATAACTATAGTTAGAACATGAGACAAATAAAGTATAACATTAAATGCGATATTTTTCGATATTTTAATTCCCTATATAAAACTACCATATTAGCTTTTAGTTTTAAGTCCATTCAAAAACAGCACTAAGCTCCTAAACAATTTCTATTACCCAACCCTTTCTTTAATTTTCCCTAATTAGATCATCGATAAAAATGTAAATCTAGTCCCTAAATATCAATTAATCGAGGAGCATGCGACAAAATTTCCACAAAACTCATACCATAACTTAGACACACTTCAAAGGTAGTATAGGAGGATCTCCCTCTATCCCTCAAAGTGTCCGTTAGCGCCCTTGGAAAAGTGTCAGGCAATTGCGTGCGTTTATGAGAATTTATTGACACTCGGAGCGAGGATCCTCGATAGCCGCAAGGATACCGGTCGGGCAGGTAGCCAGCACCGATGGGTATCATAAATTGTCATCACATAAATATAGTGCAACAAGGGGATCAAGCCCGTGTGACATTTATGACTCTATTACCCGTCTGCCCTGGCTGCTCCTGATTCTTGCTTTCGTAATCAGTGTCCTTCGCCTACACGTGAGCTCCGCTCTTCTGGTATCTTAATAAGCATTTAATGGTAGCGGTAAATGGTGCCAAACAAAGTCCCAGGGAGATAGGGAAAACGGAAAGTGTTAATGGATGCTGCGATAACGAGAGCTCTGAGGGAGAAGCAATCTCAAAGGAATCGCGCTATTCCTTTGTCCATTGAGACCCATCGGGGAGTCATGTGGGCTTCCTGTTCCTTGGAGAGTCTTCCTCGGACAATGAAAAACACTTCGCATTTAAATAAATACATACATATTGCTAGTCTTTATTTAAAATAATTGAAAAGAACTGATTACAACAAACGCTGTGCTCAATAGTTACATTAGAAATTACATATTATTTCGTTCACAGTCCACGCATACAAATATAATTTCTGCTAAAACAATCCATCAACTGTGAATGGCTTACAAACTAGGTGCTTTATGAAATCATTTTGATTTTACAACCACATTCGACGGCGGTTATCTAATACTCTTGTTAAATTTCGGTATGTTTATATAAATTTAATCACAAAATGGGATAATATCGGTGTGAGCTCTCGGTCGGGGGCGATTTGTAATATATGATATTTTGTGTATAAGTTTGCGAGATGGTCCGTCATGGTTAGGTTTCATTATTAGAGCTATTATACTTTAGTTTCACTGATATGAAGTGCTTTTTCTTGACTCGGTTATTATGATATTAAATGTTCTGTGCAAATAAATATTAATTTAGCTATAATATGAAATTAATACATTTATATATGTGGTTAAAAGGGTCTAGTCGGTGTGTCAAGTTATTTAATAATTAAACTAAAAAATATTTAATTTGTATATTTATTTTTGAAGATTTTTGTATGAGAAATTGGGTTTAAAACACCGAACCATTTAAAAGTAAAACAACAAAAAATGTAGAAATATGTTTAAGTCATTGAAACAATAATATGATATTACTTAGAATTTTTTTGGAAGAAAACATATTTTTAAAATATTTATTTTAAAATGTTTGCATGAGAAAATGTATTTAGAAGATTTGAGAATAAAAAAATTAGAAAAATTGTTAAACCAATGAAATATTTTAAAACCGTATTATTCTGAATTTTTGTGGAAATACAAAGTATTGAAATGACACACTGCGACTCGACCCTAATTGATATCATATTTTTCGATTTGTATGGTATAAATTTATAGCTTGAAGCACTCACAGAAACGCACCAGCCACTTCCAGTTTGTTCCAGCTGCACTCTGGTTCGCCATCCTGGCTTATCACTCGTAGAAAAAACACCCCTTACAGCGTCGTTGATGTCACCGTGCTGACGCCATGAACCAGAATTGTGGGCGGCAGCTCGGCGGTCAGTTCGGTCAGCAGTTCCATGTAGCTGGCGCTGCGCTGTGCAAAATCCGGCGTTGATAGCTTCGGCGGTGCCGCGAGATAAACGAACGACAATGCGGTCTGATCGGAGCGTTCGCGTATGATTTGATTCGCTCGTTGCATGTAGATTAGCGAGCGATTCAACCTCTCCTCGCCCAGCTCGTCATCGTCGTCCTCCAGCAAAGCATTGTCCGCCTGGGCGGTGAACTGCCTAAGAGTGTGAGCATGTCGGCTAAAGTCACTGTCCCGGCTCCATTCCTGGATCTCAACAATGTCGGCCGTGATGCGGAGCTCCTTAAGAGACTGCTCTAGTTTCATCTTCGAGAAGATCTCCATTTGCGGGCTTTGGGTATCGAAGGTGCTGAAAGGGAGAGGGGAATATTATTCAAGCCGCTTAAAATTGCATTAAAAACACTTTAAACTCACCCCACCGTTCGCTCGTCGCTTGCCTCGCAGAGGAAAATCCTAACGCGCAGATGCTTCCATTTGGCCAGCATTATCACTGCCAGTTGCATCATGAACAGGGAGACCATGTCGAAGGGATCACCAGAGGTGGGGTTAAATATATTTATGGGCCATACATCGATGTACTTGACATGCTTGCTGCTGCTTGGAAAAACTGCATTTTAAATACCTTTTAATTGATAATTGGAGCACACTCACATAGCAACAAAGTTCTTGTCCAGTCGCTGGAAATTCCTGCATAAGCACAGGTTCTTCTTCATGCGAAGAGTGTCGCACAGGATCTGCACATACTCCTGGACCTGGAAATGCTTCGGGTCGCCGTCGCGTCGAATGGGAAAGCTCTGAATGTCGCCCGTGTTGAAGTCATCGGTCTTATACGGCGAGGAGCCACTGTGATTGAGAAAATATAGTCAAATATTCATTGCAGATCAAGGTATATTTCCACATACTTCTGGAAAAAGTCCCGCGGCGCCTCGTTGTCGTAGAAGCCCAAAATAATGGTGTTTGGCTTCATGGCGCCGATGCCCGACAAACGAATCAGGTGCTGAACTCCCTCGCGAATGCTCCGGCTTAGGGTCACCTCCGTGAAGGCCTTGACCCGCATGTGATCCAGAAATGACCACCACTGCTGGTTCTCCTCGGCATCCTCCGCGCTCTTAAAGTCCCCCAACTTGACATGCCCGATGATGTAGAGCCCGCTTTTCTTCAAATCGTTGACAAAGTCCACCAATGGGCAGCAGGATCGGGGCGAGGAGACCAGCAGCAGGATTTGCGGCCGCCAGAACTTGACGTGATCCTTGCGGGGATCCAGCATCAGGAGATACTTGCGCACCTGGTGGAACATCAAAGCCTGCGATATCGAGCCCCATTGCGCCGCCTGCGTGGCGGCCGGCGAGAAGAGGTGCAGGGCAATCACCAGGATCAAGCACAGTATGATGCAGGACGAGGCATATATCGGGTTAATCACGAACATCATGATCAGGGTGCCCAGCAAGCCCACCAAGCACGTGTGCCACGTAAAGTACTTGAAGAGCGGCCTGAAGTTCGGAGCTCCCGTGAGCTCAATGCCCAAGCAGGCCAGGTTGGTGGCCAGGTAGGAAAGCATGAACAGCACCGAGTTGATTTGGGCAATGATGTTGAAAGAGCCAATCAGCAGGATGCACTCCACCAGGCTCCAGCTCACCACGACGGCGGCAATGGGATTGCCTTTCCACGTTCCATGCAGCACAAAGTTCAGGAGGCTTCCAAAGACCTGGTCCTTGGACAGAGCCTCCAAAATGCGACTCGAGCCAATCAGATTGCTCAGGCCCGTGGAGAAAGTGGCCGTGAGAATGCCAATGGCCGTGAACGGTGGCCACAGATTGACCGGCAACAGAAACAGGTAGTTATTCTGCATCGTGTAGTACGGCGTTGTGCAGCTCATCAGGAAGGAGAGGATGATGTAGGACACGAAGGTGAAGGCCACAGCCGACAAGGTGCCCCAGGGAATGCTCTTCGATGGATTCTTTAGCTCACCGGACATATTGGCTCCCGCCATGATGCCCGTAACGCCCGAGAAGAGCACACCAAAGGTGGTGGAGAAGTCCACCTGCTTCCCATTCGACGTGTAGTCGAGCCCATAGTGGGAGCCCAAATTCTCCCGTAGCGTGTTGGCACTCAGGCCGGTGTAGTTTAGGAAGTGTATCGTTTTCGAGATGTTATTTTCCACGGGAACGGGTATCTGCAAGCCAAAAAGAATAACATATGAGTGGGGCTCACCACCAATAAAATATATTTATGAAGTGTAGGTTAAAACACACAAAGGGTTCTGTAAAACAATTATTAATCGGCACGTTTTTCATGATTCACACAAACCCTTATCGCTTTATTGTCAGCTTTATTTTGTTTGTTTAAAAGGGAATTGAACAGGAAAACGAAACTAAAATACCACTAATTATTTCATTGAAATATGAAATAAAATATTACATATAAATTTATTTATTTAAATATATGAGATATAAATATAAATAAAATAAAAAGAAAATAAAAATATAAACAAAAAAAAAACAGTAACTGACTAGAAGTGACCCCAATTGTGAATCATTCCTTAAAATCCCCATATCAAAGTCGATACTTTAAAAAATCCCGGCAACATAAATTATAGCAAATTTCTGACCAAGTCCTTATCAGCCTTCGATAAGGCCAGGGTAAATATTTAAAATAAACCCCAAATTGAGCCCTTGATAGCCTAGATATCGATAGCACATCTTCGATTGATAAGCGGGACAGGGGTTTGGCTCCCATGAGCGATTGCTACACTGCTAAAAAAAAGGTATTTGTCATACAGGCTGAAATGAATGTTCTACTTTTTTTTAGATATATAAACTACCTAAATTATAAATTTCTCCTCTTTTTGGATATTCATTATCCATTTCCAAATGTGAAGTTCAAGATATCACAAAATATTTATTTTCAATGTATAAATGGATATCTTACCGTATCATTGGTGGCGCCCATAGCCAGGAAACTGATGTACGTGGCGAATAGACAGACCGTGACGGTGGCCAAAATAAGTACTGACGTCTTGGCGAACAGGGCGGCACCCACCAGGCAAACTAGCAGCTGTAGGGTATTGATCATGCTGCTGGTTAGGAAGCGCCACCACTTGCCGTCCGGCAATGTGGAGTCCCCGGTCACGAAGTGGCCACCGGGGCCAAAGTTATCCATGATGCCCTCGGTGCAGCCGGAGATGGCCATGGCCGATCCCACGACATTGGCAAAGAAGAACAGGGTGCCGATGGAACCGCCAAACTCCAAGCCCAGCGTGCGACTGATCATGACTGAAAAAGGTTGTAAAAAGGTATTATTTGAATATTTAGTATTAAAAACAGAAGGGAGCTAACTGTGATAAGCCAATGTATCCTATACCTTTGTAAATCGATGCTAACTAAGCCGAAAAGGCTTAAATTTTACTTCTAAAAGTTGGTTAGGAATTTATATTTTTTTATTTTCAAAAAATACCTATGTTTATAGGGTCGGAGTAACCACCAAACTTTTGACTAAAATTAAAAAACCCTGCAGTACCCAAAGCGATCACTCGAATGACTCACAGTAAACACCGCCTCCCTCGATAGCTCCATTGGTGGAGATGGCGCACACGGAGGCCACAGTGAACAGCAGGATGCCGTAGGCGATTAGAAACTGCAGCAGGGTGACGTACAGGCCCGCATTGCCCACGATGTAGCCTGAACAAAGAAGTGGCAGATTAAGATATAGAGGAAACGGCGCACACAAGTTCAATGGACCAGCAGCGTCAGCGCCACAAGTGTTCCGTGACGTCACCACAGCCAGACTTACCAACACGGATGAAGACCAAAGCACTAAACATGGACAGGGCCACCGGACTGAAGACGCCGGCAAAGGTGCCCAGAGTACGGCCATTACGTTCCGGGTCCTGCATACCGAACTCCACGTAGCCATCACCGGACTGCGGCGTATTGGGCCGATCGCCGCTGTTTTGGCTGCCGCCGAATAGGGAGCCAAAGCTGCGGAAGACGCTGCCCGTGCGCCCATTCCGCGAATTGGCAATGGGAGCCGTCTCCTGCTCCGTGGAAGCGCTCATTTCAATGTCCGTGGTGCGAATAATGCGGAAACACTAAAGTCGTTCAGCGAACGCCTACAATTTCCAGCTGTCGCAGCCCAATCACAACCATGGGCGGGCTGAGTCTTTACTCCAATGGGGGCCGGAGGCTGTCTATCATTTTTTATCTCAGGATAAGAAAATCAGCACTAGCAAACTGTCTAGGAAAATTCTTCTTACTTAAATTAGATAATTTTTTGTTTTTATTATGCACGATAGTAAAAAGAAAGCTCACAACGCCCATGGCCCTGGCAATGTGGCAGCATTTACAGACATTATATAGTACTAAAACATACCGAAATATATTGACCACGCTTTGATCGATATCGACTGACTATCGATAGACAACAAATTAAAATAATACGCGGCACTTTTGAATACTCTATTGCTCCGTTCTGACCTTATTCGCTTAAAAAGTTTCAAAATCGTATCTCTATTAAATCAAGCAATGCTCTGCGTGCCAAAAACGATCTAAAAATTCGTTAATTATTTTCAAAATAAAATCTGGAAAAGGTATTATATATTTAAATATTTTATATACTGAAAACAACTCATTGAAAAGAATACCAGAACCGCCGAGGGATGACACAGCGCATGGATGATAAGCCATCGGAGCCTCTATATATAGTAAGTGGCTAATTGGTCGCCGTTCTAAAGAATTGATAATAATATATTGCTCTTGAGAGTAGATAATGACGGGTATTCCTCAAGGTATTTTGCCTATAAAACCCGCTACACAATCGGGCCATTCTTTAATTTCGGGAAAGTAATATTTACCATGAAGACTCTGCAAATCGTGCTGGTACTTTCGGCCATTATTGCCGTTGCCTTCGCGGCCAACGCTTCCTGGGGCACCAAGCTATCCAGCAGCAAGCTGGCCAGTACCCAGAACGTGACCATTCACAAGAAGGCCAATGTCTATGCGGACGCAAAAGTGGTTTTCCCACTGGACGTAAGTCTTTTGATTTATTTCAGTTCCATGAAAGTATATTACATCCTTGAACGTACACAACAGGGCCAGATCAACACAAAAATCATTCGTTTTATCAGCGTCACTGACCGATTTACGAACAGCTCGGGACCCACTGCCACTCTGTGGTCAGGTGGTCCAGGCTATACCCAGGCCACCGTACAGTTAAAGGGCCAGTATGCCCAGGGAATTAACGCCACCGTCCAGTTCTACACGGATGCCTAATCATGTGAAAACCAAGCCTGAAAGACCAGACAAAATATTAATTAAACAGAAAATAATAAAAAGTACATTGAGAAAAGCTTAAAGTAGATTTAAAGAGTTAATAAAATGTTCACATGCTATGCAAAAATTGTGGTTTTAAAGAGAATTAAAGTTAGTGTAATTATATAACTCATTCCTTTCATTTGTATAATAATGTCATTAAGTTATAATTGCTTTTTCATAACTAAATCATCTGTCTAATCATACAGGCCACTTAGAAGAGAATACTCCAGTTGGAGGCGTGTTTGAAGTGTGTCATCGTCGTAGTCTCCATGAACGATAGCGATATTTGGGATTCTTCCATCTGTACCCTGGCCAATGATCAGAAATGCGGGCATTTGTTCCACTTTAAGGTTCTTAGCTGCATCAGCCGCTTCAACGCTGATGATATTCCTAAGCTGTTCGTGAAAAAAGTTGGCGTCGGTGGCGTTGGACATATCCCAGCCATAGACAATAAACAGATTATTGAAAGTTGTGAGGACTTCATCATTCTTGAGTACTTGATGGCAAAGTGTGTTGGTCAGAACGCTACCCGAATGATGGAGGTAAAGGGCTAGCACTTTTTTCTGATAGAGATATTAATATTAAAAAAGATACAAGTATATAGAATAACTAAGTGCAAACCTCATCATCTGGCTGATTACATGCTGCTTCATAGGCACTCTTCAGGTTTCCCTTAAAAAACTTCAGGCTTGGCTCGCCGTACTGTTTTCTGTAATTTTGGACAAACGACTGATCCTTGGAGCCGGAAATGGCAAAATGATTAGGATTGGTACCGCTAACTCCTGGCAACATTCCTCACCGTAGGCTCTTCAGAGCGCGGGACAGCCAGATCCGTCCCCTTTGGATTCAGGTTTTCCCAAGTCATTCCGCTGTAGAAGTTTTTAGAAACAAAACAAAACAAAAATAGCTGCTAGAGGTGGGAAAACTTTAAAACTTCGCTACCATCGGTGGTGTTTGGTATTAAAAATACTGTCTTTTTATTTCTATCGGCTATCGATAGCGTCCTCAATGTATTGCTATCGGACCGAACGTGCTGCGGTTTGTTATTATTTTCTTTTGCGAAAATTTTTGGTTAAAACAGATAAATAACATAGCTGTGAATATTTAGGAAGCTTTATTAACCCCCTGACATGGCCGCCGTAATACCAAAAAGTGAGTATAAAGTTATTTACCGAATATTTCACGCATTTTCCGTCTTGAGGATGTTGTGTAACTGCTCTTGATGCTTTTTGTATGGCAAGATTGGCTCTAATTATACTATTTAATTATTAAGACCTTCCGTTGATAAGGACCAGCACTCCGGCGCTGCAGTTCCTGCGCTTTCGGGGCAAGATCAATATACAGCGGCCCAAGGAGCCGCACTACGAGCGCGCACGAGTGATTGCAGTGACGCAGCCCAAGTACCCGGAGCCACCGAAAGCCGGGACCTGCTTCAGGACTCGGGCGGAGCGTACGCAACAGCAGCTGGAGAACCCCTACAACGAGATCATAGCGCGCGAGGTGCGCAACTGGCTGGATCACTCCAAGCTGGTGGCCATCTTTCACCTGAACTCCATCACCGCCGACGAGATCTTCCGCGTTCGCGTCCAGCTGCACAAGCAGAACCTGCATCTTAAGTCCTACGGCCGCAAGATCATCGGTCAGGCGGTGGAGGGCACTCGCTACGAGGCCATTCTGCCGTTATTTCACTCCAATCACTGCATCATCTTCTCGCCGGACCAACAGAAGATCTCCACTCTGCTGAAAATAACGCGGAAAGTGCCCCAGATGGTCCTGCTGGGCGGCATCGTGGAGAAAACCCTGCTGAGCAGGAACGAGCTAATGGCCTACGCCCAAATGCCTGGCCTGCAGGCGGCGCAGGCGCAACTAGTCCAAACCCTGAACCAGGCAGCCGGCAACCTCGTCCAGCAGCTGCAGGCGCATCAGAACAGCTTCGTGCAAGTGCTCGATGTCCATGCCAAGGGGGAAGGTAAGGCGGATGCCGCAGCTGAGGAGGAGTAGTTGTAGTGGAATCCATGTTTTTGTTAAATAACAAGAAAAACTAAAGCAAAGTATTGTATCCATTGTCTTTCTCATACTAAACTATAGCTTCTACAAATTGGTTAACTACTGCGGCACCACCTGGATGCGTGCCCTTTATGACTAGAGAGATTGCACTTTCCGAACATCTGCTGGAATGATGGCGTCAGTTCGATGGCACCGCTCACGAGGTGATCGCGGCGGTGTGCTGCTGGTGCCAGCGCTGCCTGCAGTTGTAAGCCAGATTGGCCAGGGCCTCCGCAGCATCCAGTTCGTCCTTGTGGTGGAGCATCCAGCTATCCCCGCGAGTTGCCGCGGAGTCGTTGGAGAACATCAGCTGGCTCTGACCGTTGCCGAAGGTTGTCTTCTGCCTGAAAGCCACAGAATTTAGTGTGCCACATTCGCTATAATCCTTCAAATGGTGCTTACCTGGTCGAATTCCACTCGATGTGGTAGTTACTCCTGTCCGGCGTAAACTTGGCCGCGCTCTCCAGCCACTTGTTGAGTTGGGCGCCCGGTTGGGGGATGTTGTTCACGGCCTCGCCAGCAGAAGTATCCCGCAGATACTTCTCCATCATCTGGTGCTTGTACTTGGCTTTACCCACCATTGTGGGCATACCAATGCGCCCGTACAGCTCCCCGGCGGACTCCACATAGAAGTTTGGCTTATACTGTGACGTGTGGGCGTTGCCATCGCTGCCGGTGCTGTGGCTGGACAACCCGTCGTCGTCGCCGTCTTCATCGAAGTCGTCGTCTTCCGCAGCAGGGCACGAGCGCATTTCCTCCTCCCAAATACTATCCTCCGACGAGATGCTGAACTGCTCCACATTGCCCCTCGCATTGTGGTTGTAGTTTTTGATCAAATGTCCCCACGACTTCTTGGCCTTCTCACGCTCCGAGTTTTTCAGCTTCCGCCGCCAGTTGGCGAACCAGTTACAGATCTGCGTGTAGGTAAGTCCCGTCTCTCCAGCCAGTTGCTTCTTCTCCTCCCGGCTGGGATAGGGATTCTCCCGGCGCCGGATCAGCCAGTCCTTTAGCATCCTTTTTATGTCAGGTGTAAACAGGCGTTTGGCGGCTCGCATGGCCGGCTGCAGTTCATCCTCCGGCGGCCAGGCGCGTCTGAAAAATATTCCAAAAAATATGCATTTATTTATTAGTAATTTATTGTAGCTAAAAACTGATATAAAGAAGTTGGGAAATTTTTTTATCCAAACCTACTGTTTAAAATAACGGCCAGTTAAGGGGGTTGACCCATGTGACGGCCGGTTTTTTGACAGTTTTTAAGAAATGTTTCCTAAAGAGAGCTTATGACTGCCATTTTTTTTACCAGTTATTACCAGCTATAAAGTATTTTTCTATATTTTTTAAAGTTGATTAGTTAATTAAGAAATCGATTTAAGCAAAAAAATTAATTTATATTTTTGTAAACAGCCCCAAAGCTGGAAGTTAGTTTAATTCGACTTTGTTTTAATTTTAGAACTTTGAAAAATCCACAGTTAAGAGACAGACATATTTTTAACCGAAAATATTAACTATACACTGCGCGTCACCAGATTAGCGCCCCCCTTGGTGCTCGCGTTTGAAGTAAAATATTATCAAAACTATTAAAGATTGAACTGTACAATTATTATCCAATATAATTCGATTAATTCTCTAAATAAAAACATATATTAGAACGCAGTTGGTATTTGCATAGAATTGTATTAAATTAAAAACTAAAGAAACACGTTTATTTGGAAGAAAAAACTGCGTCATCAGATTAGCGCCCCCAAAATATAAATTTAAACATCTTTCTTAACTTGCTGATCACAGCAACTATTTTTTTTTTGCTGTTAAATTAAACATTTTTCTTCAATTTGACATACAATATGGGCAGAGGAACAATCTTATCTTCGGAGGAAAAATCGAAAATCGAAGCGTTTAATGAATGTGGACTTTCTCTTCACAAAATCGTCGAAAAAACGAGAAGACATCGCAAAACCATTGCAAATTTTCTTCAAAATAAGAAAAGCTATGGAAAAAATTACAAAGGAGGTAATAACAGTGTTATTAGTTCCGCAGATCGCAGTGCTATACTTCGAGAGGCGTGTAACTCCCACGACTCTACCGCAAAAATAATAGAAAAAACTTGTGTTAAGACAATAAAATCGACTTTTTTAAAGGTGATCAAGAAAGCTGACCCTTTAAAGAAGCTAAAACTAAAAAAAAAAAAAACCACCCCTTAACCAAGTGCGAACAGAAATCCGCCTAAAGTTTGCTCACACGCATATGACATGATCCAATGAGAGGCATAACGTCGTATTTTCAGACGAAAAAAATGTAACCTAGGGGGTCCTGACGGATATAATTATTATTTCCACTATTTACGCAAGGAAGAGCATCATCTGGATCGCTTACATAGTCGGGTTGGAGGAGTAATGGTATGGGGAGCCATATCCTATTATGGCAACTGTGAACTGCAGTTTTTAACCCCAAAGATGAACGCGGAAAATTACAATTGCGTTCCAAAACAGCATTTCCCGTTTTTAAAAACTTATTTCGAAATCTGAAATAGCATTTTCAGCACGACTAAGCCCCAATCCACAGAGCCCGGTCCGTAAAACTATGGAATCAAAAGGAAAATGTCAGTGTCCTGGAGTGGCCCCCATACTCCCCAGACCTGAACATAATAGAAAACGTCTTGGGATGGTTAGCTAGGAAGGTGTACGAGGCTGCCAAGCAATATGCTACCAAGGAGGATTTAATTCACAGTATAAAACAGGCCTGGTCAACAATAACGTTGGAATATTTCAAAAACTTGTATGACTCTCTCCCCAATCGAGTTTGTGAAGTCCTTGTAAACAAGGGAGGGGCAACCCATTATTAAATTTCCTTAAAAATGATTAAACTTAATCATAAAATTGTTAAAGATAGTATTTTGTAAGAACTTCATCAAAAAAAGTTAAGTTAATGTAGGTGGCGCTAATCTGATGACGCAGTTTTTTCTTCCAAATAAACGTGTTTCTTTAGTTTTTAATTTAATACAATTCTATGCAAATACCAACTGCGTTCTAATATATGTTTTTATTTAGAGAATTAATCGAATTATATTGGATAATAATTGTACAGTTCAATCTTTAATAGTTTTGATAATATTTTACTTCAAACGCGAGCACCAAGGGGGGCGCTAATCTGGTGACGCGCAGTGTATATAAAGATACCCACCTGCTGTGACGACGATTGCGCTTGGGCCGCGTTGACTTCTCCATGGTTCTCTGAAAGAATTAAAAGAGAAGGCTGACGATAGAGCAGATCTGGTACGATATCATAAAAATGAAGGCAATCGTTTTAAAAATACCCTGTAAGTCAATTTAATTTCAAAACTCTCGGTGGGTGGCGCTATTTCTGGCCCACGGATTTTCATGTTTTTTGGCTCTGTTGCTGTTTTCATTTTATTTTCCCAACGAAATAAATATTTAGGCTTTGTCACAGCAGACGAGATCGAGAGCAGGAGAGCATGGCGAGTGGGAGAATTGGTTTGGCGTTGAATATCAGAAGAGAGTCTTCTCCCAACAGAAGTAAAAGTCTGTTAAGGTTCTCGTCTTTCCTTCCCAATTATTTTAAATGTCAAGCATTGTGTGCGTGAGTATGTTTTCATGTTTTTCTTAACCTCTTGGTTGGGAAATTCATTGATAAAACTGGCGAATCATGTTTTTTCCACCGACCGATACATATATACGTGTATGTTTATATATAGATCTTATGACACTGGCTGGGTGTTTACTATTCACGGCTCATTTTCACTCTGGTGACCCTTAAATGATACTTGGAATATTTGTTTTTCCGGATGAAACATTTTTGGGAAAAGTCCAAATACTTTAAGGATGCATCACTTTAGTTGACACTCTCAGGCAATTGCATTAATGCTAACGTTATATAATCTAACATAACACCATTGACTTGTTTTATTTGTTTTTAATTGCTTAAAGTTTTTAAAATGTACATATACGTTCTTGGGATTCATCACTCTCTTCCCCAAAGGAAATACACATATCTGCACCCACCTGTAAATATTCGGTCTATATTTTCCGATTATGTTTCGTTATTTTTATTAAATTCTGAAATAGACGAGGGTTGTGCTTCGTTCGACGTTCTGGGCCAGACTGAACCATCCGAAAGAATGCTTTTAGAGACCCGAAGAGGACTCTCCTCCGACGATCGGCTGAATGGTGGGGGCACTTTTAATCTATTTACAAAATACTGCTAGATATGTGTGCTTATTTTAAAACAATCGTCCGTTCTCGGAGAATGCTTGCGAATTACTTTCGCTCTCGATGCCCACATTTATTGGCCAGACGGTGGCAATGACGTGCTTTAAATTGTGTCGCAAGTTATTGCTGAAACATAACAACTAGTTTTTTAAAGCCGCACACAAATCACTAAATAGATCAAGTATTTGCTAATAGCCGGATAAATCAAATTCACCGTTTAGACATTCTTTTATTTTTATTTTACATTTTATTAAGTGATGATCATCACCAGAAGTGTGTTCAAGGCGTCTAATATATATATAGATATGATTTTTCAGTATCCTGTATAAGTTTCCGGTTACCTTTAAGGCAGGGATCGCAAATAAGAGTTTTAAGTAAAATAAATATATGCATATTTAGCTTTTTTCATAACTTTTGCAAATTCTATGCATATGCATATGGTAAAAGCAGAGCTTGCAAAAAACTGTCGACCGTTTCTAATTGTCTGCATATATCTGTCTCTCTCTCACTCTTTACGAAAAGACTCAGAGAGCACCCGTTCATGAGTTCTTGGAATCAGCTCGCGCGCGTTCAGAGCGAACTCGTTTTTTTCTATTCTGCTTTGTTTCGGTTGTCCCATGAACCGTGGTCAGTGAACAAAAGTCTTTTGCGTATGTATTGGTATACATTCACACGCATAGGCAAGCAAATCGTTAAACGTTTAGTTGCGATTTAAAAACAAAATTGTCTAAAACTTTTCTATTCTTTTTAATAGCATTTTGTTATATGGACACTTGTTCACAAAAATAAATAAATAAAAAAAAAAACAAACAAAGGTGAAGACCGTTCGCGCTGAGCTGTTCGGTCCCTTGGTCTTTTGCTGGCTCTCTGTGTGCGAACGTTTCTCGTCCCGCTCTTTACGCACGGCTCATTGAAAGGCCGAAGCAAAAAGAGCTCAACGAAAAGCGTTCAACAAAAAACCGAAATGAAGACAGCAAAACTCCCTTGCTCTGAACGAGAGCGAGAGAGTATGATCTTTTTCGGTTTTGCTCGCACCGAGAGCACAGGAAAAACCCCGTCGACAGTTATTTGCAAGCTCTGGGTAAAAGTTTTTGATTTTAAAATGAAATATTTAGTAAACAACGTTCAAAAACCCGTTACAGAGCGCGGGGCTACCAGATCAGCGCTTTTAAGTGTGCCCATTCTCAGCGCATGCTAGAAATCCTGAAGTGCGACAGGATTAGGTAATTTTTAGCGCTTTTCGAGCAGCAATTGTTTATATCTGAAACGTAATAATTAATTGAAATACGAATTAATTGAAAGCTAATCCCCGGGCAGCCATGAACGAATCGGTGCGCTACGACCGCTGTCACCAGGTGCAGCTGGGCGTTCACAGCGAGGTGCAAACGTGCGCCGCCACCGAGGAGGATCCCCAGAGCTTGCCGCCGCAGAGTACTGGTACCGTAAGTGTCGTCGCTCTTCTTTATTGTCCAATTCCTGACTCATTTATGGTTGTGCATTCGCCATCGGTCATTACGTGTCGCCAGATCCTCTTCACACATGACGGTGTACTCCTGAAGAAGGCCAGCGCGGAGCACATCTCGGACCTAAACACAAGCGGCTCGCTGTCGCTAGTAGAGTACTCCTCGGCGGAGCGGCCTTGTCGGCGACTGCTGCTGGAATGGCAGCCCAACGACAGCATCATGATTGCGGACGACAGCCAGGACCAGGGCGACTGGGCGCTGGTGGATAGAATATCCGGCAGGACGCGCACCACATCCGAGTGCCGTGCCTTCAATACAAAGCCCAGTGGCGGCGGGAGCGGCGGTGTCGCCCGCGCCCGCATCATGCGTGCCCAGCTGGACGACCTGCAGTCCGTAGAGGTGCGTCATCGCGGCCAGACCATCCGGTTCATGCGCAAGGGCAGCGGCGGCCTGCACAGCGAGTACTTCTTTCAGCACGGCAACGCCGACCTCTTTGTGCGCTCCATGCGGGACCTGCACTTTATCGAGGGCAACGGCAACGAGGAGTACACCATCCTAACCACCGAGAACCAGAAGCTGAAGAAGACCTTTGCCGAGCTGGACATTGGCCAGATTAAGTCCAGCCATTTGCCGCGCGAAAGTTGGCTGCCCAACAAGCTGGCCGGTTTCTTGGGCAACATACCGGACTACGTGCAGCCGCCGTTTCAGCGCTCGCCCAAGTCCCGCCCCGGGTCCCTCATCGCCGGCGAACGGCAGACTTCGCCGGACAACTATCAAATCATTGGCTTGAGCGGCAGCACAAACAGCGCCTGCTCTTCAAACGGCCAGAGCCGCGGCGGGAGTGCGGAAAAATCGCCTGCAGACAGCGAGCTGGAGAACCTGGAAAAGATGGTCAACAACTTGCCGGATCGCCAGCGTGTGGAACGAGGTGAGTTGAGGGAGCGTTCGTAAGGGATAACTCTCAGGAATTTCTGGCTTTACCTTTGCAGGGCTGCCTCTCACAGAGACCCAGTGGCTGGAGTTCCAAACGCCCGACGGCCGCATCTCGGACAGCGACCGCATCCGGGAGCTCGTCTTCCGCGGCGGCATCGTACACAGCCTGCGGCCGGAAGTGTGGAAATTCCTGCTCAATTACTATCAGTGGTCAGACACCCAGGTGCAGCGCATCGAGCGACGCAAGCAGAAATCTGTGGAATACTACAACATGAAAGCCCAGTGGCTAGCCATGACCACGGCCCAGGAGGCGAACTTCAGCGGGTATCGCGAGCGCAAGTGCCAGATCGAGAAGGATGTGAAGCGCACGGATCGCACGCTGCAGTTCTTTGCCGGCGAGGACAATCCCAATCTGTCGCTGCTGCAGGGCATCCTCATGACCTACGTGATGTATAACTTTGACCTGGGCTACGTCCAAGGCATGTCGGACCTGCTGGCGCCCATACTAGAGATGCAGGTGAACGAGGTGGACGCCTTCTGGTGTTTCGCCGGCTTCATGGAGCTGGTGTTGACCAACTTTGACATGGACCAGGCGGGCATGAAGACGCAGTTCGCGCAGCTCCGTCGGCTAATCGAGTTCGCCAATGCTCCGCTGTTCCACTACATGCGTTCCCATGACTCGGACAACATGTACTTCTGCTTCCGTTGGCTGCTCGTCTGGTACAAGCGGGAGTTGAGCAACGAGGATGTCCTCCGCCTATGGGAGTGCCTCTGGACCCGCCTGCCCTGTCCCAATTTCCACCTGCTCTTCTCGGTGGCCATTCTCGATCAGGAGACGAGCGTTATTATCGACAGTCAGTACGAGTTCACCGAGATTCTAAAGCATGTCAACGAACTAGCTGGCCACATCGATGTCCAAAAGACACTGGAGATCGCCGAGGCTATCTATCTGCAGCTCAAGGCTTCGGAGACGCTGCCCAACGACATACGGGCGATCATTGGCGAGCCCCTGCTCCCGCCAACCGCCAGCGGCGAGGAGGTGGATTCTGCCGCAGCCTTGGATGATGAGACGGCCTACTCTGACGACGGCTTCGACGAGCTTGTGCGGGAGCTAACGCCGGAGGAGAAGTTGCGACAGCAAGCCCTCCTGGAGGAGGCGTGCGAACGCTCGCTCTTCCTGCAGTACCATTAACGAACGACTTGGAGGAAGCGTGCAAGAAGCCAAACCAAAAGCCCTTAGCGCAAATTACACTGCCCACTGCGGGGTCCTCTAGGCGAACAAGATGATTCTGTTTAGGGCTGCCAATTAATCAAGTTATTTTAGCAATTAATCGAAGACCATTAACAGAATTGGCCTGGTATCGTTTTCGAAAAGTTAAGTTTCTTAAGAGAGTTATGTTTTCAGTTTCAAGCGATGCGCTACCCTAACAGGCATCTTTGTGCAACTAATTTGGATCCTGTGGGGCAGTGTCGTTATTATCTTAGACTTTAAGACTCAAAGTTTACTACCGCATCAAAAGCGAAGCTAAGCTAGCCAAGTGCTTTAAACTCTGCTGATACACAGATTTATATATATATATATTGTATATTATACATATTTGTACGTTTTTGTATTTATTGTAAGTTGTATCCCGAACCCTACACCCCTAACCCTAACCCAACGCATCCCCTTGTCAAAGAATCGCCCCTCAAACAAGGTTATTAATTATTTAAAGTACACTCAACGGGTTTTAAGGTATTTTAACCTTGTTTTCTTCATCCAAACACCACACACACACACAAGTACATTCAAAATGCGTAGTAAAAGTATCTAAAAATAAAACACCTGGTTTGCACACACGATAATAGAATGGCGCTTTGTTAATTAGTTTTTTAATGGGAAAATTTTCAGTGGGATGTCAAGTAGTCGGGTTTCCACAAACTACTACATGTATCCCGGGTCAAGAGTACCCACTGATAAGGCTTGGAATCGTGTCATCTGAGTTCGAGTGTGGCTTTCATGCTACGCGTGCATGGATCGGCAACTTCCGATGCTGTTTTAGCTTAGGAACGCTTGTCGGATTGAAGGAGCATTCAATAATATTAGATAGTAATAATAAATAAATAATTGTACTTATTCCGGTGCTGCATCTTGGTAGCCATCCACAATGCCCTATTCTGTCGCTTCCACCGGCTGCCAGTTCAATTGTTGCGCTGCTGGCTACCAAAAAAGCTGCCGACCCCCCGGCAGAAGGTGGACTTGGCCAGATGCGGCAGTTTCTTTGGGGGTCAAATGGTCGGTAGCAGGCTGCCGACAAGCCGGACGCCGATCTGAAGATCCCACCTCGTCGGGAGGCGCAAGACACGCGAGCCCTTTAGCACAATCAGAATAGAACCGAAGGCCTCAATTTGCAGCTTGTACGACTGGAGGGAGGGATGGATGTTCACGTGGATCACCGCAAAGTCCGGTATATACACCTGCACCTGCTCGTCGACGTGATACGGAAGGAACTCCTTGCGCTCGGCATGCCTGCTCTCAAAGATCACGGACTCAAGCAGCTGGTCCACATCCTTGTACTTGGGCGTCAGGCCGGCACGTATGACATTGTCCGAGCAGGCCATGCACTCCACGCAGTCACCGTCGAGGTAGGCGTGTATCTCGTTGCCGCCCAGATAGATGGCCTGACCGGGCTTCAGACGGACCAGATTAGGGAAAAACAGCGACAAGACGCCCACATCGCCGGGAAAGGCCTTGATGCACTGGCAATATCCGCGTCGTCGGTATTCATCAGCTTCGCGTAGCACAGCTTGAGGCTGTCAGCGTTGGGAGCCTCGTGAAGTTGACCACTGCCTCCGGCCCTATCAACTGGCTAAGCGGCTGGAACTCGTCAATGTTGTCCTTTATATCTCTGGCCGGCTGGAAGTCAACTAGTGCCAAGAACGGCGTCAGAGCAATGGCCAGTTCCGGCTTCTGGTTGTGCAGCCGCTCCGCCCCATAGACTAGCTGATTTTTCGAAAATGCGCGCTGAAAAAACCGCCGCTCGGCGAGGCTGCCAACTTGCCGGCAGAACTGCTTCGTGTCCAGCCAGAAACTGCTTTGTTCAAACATTGTACTGCTTTGCCGGCCGAGTTAGCGTTGCCACTTTTTAGCAGAGTTGCCAGACAACTTATAACGTAACGTAACGAATATTTTGTAACGTGTTTCATCGATAGCACTATCGATAATTATAAGAACAATCATCGATTCGAACGATCGCTGTACGGTCACACTTATTCTTGTTTTCCCTGCTAAAATTGTACGGAATTTGTTGTAAACCATAATTCATAAAATTAATTAATCGGACCGGCCACAGCGGACGGCGAAATGTCTAACGCACAGCGCTCGTTTGTGCAAAAGGTCTCCAAGTAAGTTGGCACCAACCGGCTATTTACATTCTTCGGCAAAGCAACGCCCAACGTTTGTTTTTACATATACATACAGGCAGTCGGCGACCGATGTGAGGAAAAATGTTTCGAGTTGTCATTTGTCAAAGGCCATAGACACGGCGCTGTGCTCTTCTACAGTAAGTTCAATTCGAGTTAATTATTCAAATGGTTAATTGCGGTCTGCGGCACAGGTTTCCCCGACAGAGCCGCTCGACTACGAGGAATTCCTCTCGCAGCATATGAACATCATAAACCGGGATCCATTGAAGCACATCCTGGACTTTCCCCAAGGAGACGTAACTGTGAAAGTCATTCCGCGGAAAATTAGGACCGTTGACCACATAGTCCCCAGCGAAAAATTGTGAGTTGTCAAACCATTGTTCGGTTAAAAAGCGCTACTAAGAAACCACATTTCAGAGCGGATTTGCCGCAACATGTCCAAGAGTGCGTCGTTTGCTACACACGCCCTTGGAAGGCAGTTGAGTACGCGCAGCGGCACCTCTCCAGCTCTTGCTATATACGCGAGCGGATTGATCGCGGCACCATTAGCCCGTCGGCATACCAACAGGAGTTTGAGATCGATAAGGACTTTGCCTCCTTCGAGGAGACGTTCGCCTACAAAAGCGAGAGCTGCACTCCCAGTTCCAGGCAGTCCATAGCGAGCCTGGCTTCGGTTAGTTCCTGCACGGACACCTTGACGCCTCGCGGCTCGTGGGCCAGCTTCGATCTCCGCCGCTCGGTGAATGATCCCCTCATACCGAATCTATTGGACAACGTTCCGCCGGAACAAATTGATCAAACCAACGAGGCGCGACGGCAGCAGGACCGTCAAGTGGCTCTCTTTTCGCTGTATCCAGAGTCTGAATTGGAGGAGAGCGTCGAGCGCAGGCTGCTGGCCGAGATTCCCATAGAACACATGGGACATCGTATTCAGGTTAAGTGTCTCCAGCTGCGGCTTGAGCTCGAGGTGGAGCCCATATTTGCCTCGATGGCCATATACGACGCCAAGGAGCGACAAAAAATATCGGAAAACTTTTACTTCGACATGAACTCGGATAGTCTGAAACGGATGTTGTCCAGTCACGTCCAGTGTGCCGACGTCAGCACCCAGAGCCATTCGGCCATATTTGAGGTGTCATACCCCAGCAACGACCTGTTTCTCGTGATTCGTCTGGAGAAGGTGCTGCAGGGCGATATTAACAACTCTGTCGAACCGTACTTGAAGGAGGACAAGGACAAGTACCGCGAGAAGGTGAAGTCGAACGCCGCCGACTATTGCGAGCGTTTGGGCAAATACCGAATGCCCTTTGCATGGACAGGAATCTACTTGACGGACGTTTTCAATGGCGACACCTTTGAGAGCAAGGACGCCGGCGGAAATGAGCGTGAGTCCTCTGCGGCCGGCACCGGCAGCAGCGGCGGCGGATTGGGTACAGCCCCTAGCTCCAATAGTTTGGATCGGAAGTCATCAACCAGTAGCTTTGACCAGCTCAGGCGCAAGGCGGACTATGTGAGCGGAACCTTGACCCGCCGCGGTTCTTTGGAACGGAAGGAGAAGCGTCGCTCGTGGTCGCCAGATGATTTCGCAAATGTTGTGGAAAACTTTCGCCCGATTACGATAACGGTTCCAAGCTTCTTTAAGCAGGAGGCAGATAAGATGAAGGACGAGGACTTGTATAAAATCCTGCCTGAGCTGAAACGACCGAGCTCGGTGATGAAAAAATACAAATGCATTCCGGGCTCCATTAAACTGGAGATCTCACCTTGCATTGAGGACGCCAAGAACTCGCTAACGCCAGAGCTGGCCAAAATAAACCCCCAGAGTGCCGAGAACACGCGCCCTGTGAAGGAAGTGCTGGAATTTCCACAGTCGGCTATTTTTAATCCACACTACACCTACCGCAATCTGCTGTTCGTTTCGCCGAAGGAACTTAACTTCTCGTCGCGTGCGGGCTCAGCCCGCAATATTGCCGTACGCATACAGTTGATGGCGGGCGAAACGCCCAAGGATGCGGTAAATGCCATTTACGGAAAGTCGTCTTGCCCGAAATTCTCAACCGAGGCATTCACGGCTGTCAACTACCACAACAAGTGCCCGTCGTTCTACGATGAGATAAAGATCGCCCTGCCTGCCTCAATAAAACAGCATCATCACCTATTTTTCACCATCTACCACGTGTCCTGCCAAAAGAAGCCGCAGGACGTGCAACCGTCGGTGGAGACTCCAATTGGCTACACATGGCTTCCCTTATTGGAGGACGGCAAGCTCAAGGTTGGAGAGTTCAATCTGCCCGTTATGTTGGAATCACCGCCGGAAAACTACTCCTTTATACCTCCAAATGTGCATCTCCCCGGGATCAAGTGGCTGGATAATCACAGGGCAGTGTTCGCCATTAACGTGGAAGCAGTGACCGCAATTCATACGCTGGACCCTGCTCTGGATCGCTTCTTTCTGATCTGTGAGTACCTGGATACTCGCAATATACCCTCTCATATTGGTGAGGGAAATATAGAAGCGGAGCTCAAGAAGTGCTTGCTGGACATCGAGAATGCGAGTCGCGAGGCGTTGGTGAGGCATCTCCCATTGGTCCTGGATAAACTTATCGAGCTGCTGGTGATGACCCACAAGGTCGGGGGCCAGTCTATGTCCCTGGGCTCTACGGTCTTCGAAGTTCTGTGCTTGGTCTCGTCCCTCCTGTCCATCCTGAACGACGATCTCATAGTGGACCAATACGGACGGCAGAGTTTGCTCTCGACGTATGTGCAGTTTCAGTGCAAAATTCCCCATCCCCTGCATAGCAAGCCGAGGATAACGTGCAGTCGCGGCACAACGGAGGAGCTGCAAGTGAGCGAGTCCTACAGCAGCCTGTATGACAATGTGATGGCCAGTGGGCGAAATGTGGATCGAAAAGGTAGTATGGGGTCCAACATCCACACGCCATTTACTAAATAGTTATATTTTTTAGACCCATCAATAGATATTATTCACTCGATCGTGGGACGCGATGTCCAGGTGCGGCTGCTACACGAAGAACTGGCCCTGCACTGGGTCGTTGCCAGCGGGAAAGCCGCCGAATTAGCCATGTCGAATTCGTGGTTTCTATTTGAGCTTATAGTCAAGTCAATGATTGAACATTTGCATAACTCGAACACCCTCAACGGGCCGCGTAGGAACCGTTTCCCACACCAGGTCAACGACGATTTGTCTACTCTGGTGCACCTAGTCACCACAAAGGTAGTTGGCTATCATTGCAGCGAACCCAAGTTGGCACAGTCTCTGAATGCCAGCTTAGGCTTCTTCATTTTCGACATATTGAGCATCATGGACCGAGGATTTGTCTTCGGCCTGATCAAGACATACACGAAGGTTCTGATTTCCAAAAACGCCTCGATACCAGATTTAATGAACTATAAAATAGACTTCTTAAGAATTGTGTGTAGCCACGAGCACTTCGTTGCCCTTAACTTACCGTTTGGAACCTCGTACACCATGGTCTCTGCGCCCTGCAGCCCCACGCCAAGCACCACATCGAGCAACAGCCAGACTTCATGCGTAAGTTGGGTAAAAATGCATACAAATGTGTATTGATTTCTATACTATCTGACAGGGATCATTGGAACGAGCTCTCCACGCGGATCTCAGCCAGGAGTTCCTTCAACAACACTTTCTGGTCGGGCTGGTTCTCAGCGACTTGGCTGCAGTAATGGAGGTTCCGAACCCTCAGCTACACGGAAAGGCTATTCGCTGCGTTCTTAACCTGATGACATCGCATGATCTGGACACTCGGTACAGCGACACGGAGGCACGTGCCAGGGTGGCGGCGCTTTACATACCCCTGCTCTCCATAGTCATGGACGGCATTCCGCAATTGCATCAGCATGGACTTGACCAGGACCGCTTGCAGCAGATCGGCCAGCTCGAAGACTACCAAGGGCCCCACCAAACCATGACAACAAGCACCATAAACCCAGAAGTGGCGTATGCAATATCCGGCAGTCGCCCATACTCGTACATGAGTGAGCAGGTCAAGAGCAAGTCTCCATTCAGCTCAGAGAACACTCGCCACCTGTTGGTCTGCTTCCTTTGGGTGATGAAGAATTTGGAGCGGAGTATTCTGTACCGTTGGCTGCTGGGCCTGAGTCCGCACAGAGTGCACCAAATGCTGCAGGTTGTAAACGTTAGCCTCAAAACGTTCGAGTATACGGGGCAGAGACACGTCCCCACCACACTGAAGCGGACAAACACTCAAAGCTTTAGGAAAAATGTGTCCACGGACGTGAAGGAGAAGCTGGAGGAATGCATAAGGGGCACGAACTCTGCACGCTACGATCTGATAAACAGACGGAAGGATCGCAACTCGACGGAGAAGTTTCGCTGGCGAAAGGACCAGATGCCCTACCGCTCGCAGTATGCGGACAGTGCGGGCAAAAGTGAGCATGAAATCGAGTTGAGTCACTTTATTGAGGGTTCGCTGGCCACAGAAGCAGCCCTTGTGCTCCTGGACACCCTTGAAATTATTGTTCACGTGGCTGCCAACCTCCACCACAATCTCCTGGGGACCGTGCTTAAGGTGTTGCTGCATGCCCTGTCCCGAAACCAATCAACTTTGGCACTGCAAAACTTGTTTGCCTCGCAGCGCGCACTAATCTTTAAATTTCCGAACCTGCTATTCGACGAGGAGACCGATATATGTGCCGACTTGTGTTTGATTCTACTGAAGCACTGCGGGTCCCTTTTACCCGGAATTCGCTCCCAAGCAGCTGCATCCCTATATCTACTAATGAGACAGAACTTCGAGATCGGCAATGTATGTATACGTTTGCAAAAATTCAAATTAAGTGACATTTTTTTCGTGTTTTCTTTCAGAATTTCGCCCGCGTCAAAATGCAAGTGACAATGTCGTTGAGTTCGCTTGTTGGTACGAGCACGGTGTTCAGCGAACAGTCTCTGCGGCGCGCACTGAAAACAGTTCTTGTGTACGCCGAGTCGGACTCTGATCTCCAGGACACGTCATTTCCAGAGCAAGTGCAGGACCTGCTGTTCAATCTCCATATGATACTGTCCGATACCGTGAAGATGAAGGAGTACCAGGAGGACCCGGAAATGCTGCTTGATCTTATGAATCGTATTGCCAAGGGCTACCAGAATAATCCCGATCTGAGGCTGACTTGGCTGGAGAACATGGCCAAGAAACACCGTGAGCGTGCGAACCATACGGAGGCAGCCATGTGCTATGTGCACGCAGCCGCTCTGGTCTCTGAATATCTCAGCATGCTGGAGTCACAGACCCATCTTCCCGTTGGCGCCGTCAGTTTTCAGCGCGTCTCTCCAAACACTCTTATGGAGTCTGCCGTGTCAGACGACGTCCTCAGTCCAGGGGAAGATGGTATATGCCTGGGAAATCACTTTACGGAAACGGGGCTGAAGGCTTTGCTGGAAGAGGCCTCCAATTCGTTTCAAGTAGCCGGCATGTACGAAGCCATGAACGAGGTGTACAAGATTCTCATTCCCATCTGCGAGGCCAACAGAGATTTCCAGAAACTCAGCAAAGTGCACGGCAAACTGCAGGAAGCCTTCAACAGAATAGCCCAGCTACAGGTAGATACTTTATTTATTTTCCATTTCTTGGTGCGATATATTTTTGTGCTCATATTTAAAACAGGGAAAAAGGGTGTTCGGCACATACTTTCGAGTGGGCTTTTACGGAGGCAAATTCGGAGACCTGGACCAGCAGGAATTTATTTACAAAGAACCAACCTTGACAAAGTTACCAGAGATTTTCAGCCGGCTCCAGGTAACAATAAATGACGCCTTAATTGAACGAAACAGATTTTATTGTTCAATATATGCCGCAGAACTTCTACACTGAACGTTTTGGACCGGACTCAGTCCACATAATCAAGGACTCGAATGCGGTTGATATAAGCTCTCTGGATCCCGACAAGGCGTACATTCAGATCACGTATGTAGAGCCATACTTTGAAACGTACGAGATGCGTCATCGGGAAACATACTTTGAGAGAAACTTCAACATCAGTAAGCATTAGATTGCTCTTAATACGGTCTTAATTTAGCTACATATAATGGTTTTTTTTAACAGAACGCTTTATATATGCGACGCCGTTCACGAAAAACGGAAAGGCCCATGGCGAACTCCATGAGCAGTGTAAACGGAAGACGATTCTAACCACGGCCAACCACTTCCCGTACGTCAAGACCAGAATCATGGTCATTAGCCGGCAGCAAATAGTCTTGGAACCCATTGAGGTGGCAATAGAGGTAAGCCAAATCAAGGCCATGCGTTTCAAACAAATCTAACTCGAATCTTTTTAATTAGGATATCCAAAAGAAAACTGTGGAGTTGGCGGCTGCAACTAACCAAGAGCCTGCCGACCCAAAGATATTGCAAATGGTGCTGCAGGGGTGCATAGGAACCACCGTGAATCAAGGCCCAATGGAAATGGCAAGCGTGTTTCTTTCAAATCTCTCCGACGGCACCACCGTGCCAACCAAGCATCAAAACAAGCTGCGGCTATGCTTTCGAGAGTTTTCGAAGCGCTGTGCAGATGCCCTGAAGAAGAATCGCAACCTGATACTGTCAGATCAGAAAGATTACCAGCGGGAACTGGAGCGCAACAACGATCGGTTCATCGAGCGCTTGACGCCCTTTATCACTCTGACAGCAGCTCAGAGCCATGGCGTTGTTAAGTATGTCTCACTATATAATTATTTCCCCTAGTTCTTCAGTTAAACCTGCATACATTTTATTACTTTCAGGGCCAACGCGTACAACAATAAAAGCACTCCGCTGAAATGGTAAATTCTGCTGTACGCAGCGGTGAGAGCATTTTTTAAACAGATCCCTTGTAATTCCATGTCTAGCGTTGCGGATTATTTTAAGTAAGTTGCGTATCATCTCTGAAGGTTCAATTGGCCAATATTTGACCGATCGATCCTCTTAATTCCGTTAAGTTAGAATAAATCTTCCAAACACTCGTATATGGTTCAACACCAAATATTTTAACCAAAAATATTTAACAGTGACTAATAATTAAATGCACTTTATTCTATGCATTTATATTTTATAAAACTATTGAACGAATTACCAACAAAAAACGCTGTTTAAAATATTTATACTTTTCCTTCTCGCTCAGATGAAATTATTTTATTATTTCAACAAATTTAAGCGTATTTTCCATCAAAGTTGCCAACCTTATTAAGATACATCGTATATCAGCTGTGGTTTGCGTATCAGGTGTGGCACTGGATTTTTTAGGGCGATAACTGACAAACATCGATAGCATCGATTCTATTTCTAGCATATTTTTCTTTCAATTTAGCTATTTTGGCGCATTCAATTCTGGCTGTTTCTAGCATTTTTCTTACAATGTAGCCATTTTAGCGCATTCAATTCTGGCTATTTCTAGCATATTTTCTTCAATTTAGCTATTTTGCCGCATTCAATTCTGGCTATTTCTAGCATATTTTTTTCAAAATTAGCTATTTTGGCGCATTCAATTCTGGCTATTTCTAGTATATATTTTCTTTCAATTTAGCAATTTTTGCCCATGCAAGTCTGGCCACACTGTTGTGAGGAGTAGCGTCGTGTTGAAGAATTTTTTCCCCTCAGTTAAAATACGTTCACAATATCCAGATCTGCACGGCCGTATTATTTACGTCTTCGCCCATTATCAGTGTTGTCCATGTTTATTTTATTTTACCAACGGAAGCGAAAGCAATTGTGATTCGTGCAAGCCCCCATAAACATATGTATGTATGTGTCAAAGAGTGAGAGAAAAGATCGTTTATTTGGGAGCCACCGCCTTCAGTGCGCAGCGGCAACTAAATTAATTTGTGCAAGTGTTAAAAAAAGTATTCAGAGTTAATAGTGTGATCGTAATTTTGTTTATCAACGGCCTGCCTGCACGTTTTTGCTGCAGGTGTACATAAAAACCCTCGGTGAGTCAGCCACGCAAACGGTCTGCAAACATTCTTGTTTTTCTATGGTAATTCCGTGCCCGACACATACATACATACGTTGTTCGTGGCGATATGCATGTGTGTGTATGTCTACATACATGAATGGATATGCCGGCGTAAAATGGCAAGTTTGCGATCGGACCGTAGAAAAAATTAGGTCATCATTCCGCGCACCTAAAATCAGTTGCTTCCAGCTCACCTGGCTGGTTGTGTTGGTTATCGCCTGAACTCTAAAATCCCGAATATTGTCAGAGGTTATTTGCCGTTCTTTAATTATTGAATGGACTTTGTTGCTAGTTTTGAAAATGTTCATTGAATGCGCATATATGTACCACGCACACATTTATACATACATAAACACATTAACGGGATTTTGTTTTCATGTGCAACGCAGTGTATCGAATTCATTAATATGAAATACATACATATATGTATGTTTGTATATATGTACAAGCAAATGCATAGCCATCGCTTAAACCGAGCGTTGTACTTTTGTAGCAGTTTTTTTAATTAATCATAATTTTGTGTATAACACTAAAGTTTTTTTTGGGTTTTCAATCGCAACAAATTGTATGTATGTATACTTTCATTTCGTCTCGATCGCTGTCCCGCTCAGTTGTGTATGTAGTGGTGCCCATGTACCATAGTTGGTATATCTAGTTACATATGTATGTAGATATTTACATGCCTACAGTGTTCACCACGATACAACCGCCTACAAACGTTTCCCCCTGACGTCCATTAAAAATTGCTACAACTCGTTTGGCAAGTCTTGTAAGCAGCCAGTTCTTGTTGGTTTGAATGTTTTTCTGTGTGTTATTTTAGCAGAAAATAGATGCTCTTATAATCAAATATATAGTTTTAAATAAATTAAAATATGTTCTTATGTACTTTTTTTTAAAAACTGGTTACAATTTAGACATTTTTAATTTGAAATTAAATTAAAATGATTATTATTATAATTTGAACAGCTTAAATTAGTAGTTATTGATCTTCTATTTTGATTTATTTTCAGGCATAAGGGCACAAACATATTTAAAGGAGGTTCTTCACACAAAATCGCGGAACAATGTTGAAGTTTATACGAGGAAAGGGACAACAGCCCACGGCGGAGAGACAACGCCTGCAGAAGGATCTTTTTGCCTATCGCAAGGTAAAAGTTTTTGGCTTAACTACTGATAAAAGCTTTTATCAGCGCAGCCACACCCAGTTGCCCAGCATTTTTTTTTTTTCTTTTTTGAGCCTAATGTGGGGAATGCATGCTCTTATCTTAAGTAGTTCAAAGCACACTGCTCCTTCATGTTAGCTAGGTGTGCCTGTCAATTTAAAGCGCTCGCTTTGCCGAGCGTAGAAGAGCCTTTTAAATTGAGCGCACCAATTGACATATTCAATTAAAGGGTCGACAGTATTTTATTAATTTTTTCTTTTCTACTGCTATTAGTCATAATGATGGCCCTGAATAAATCGGCCAAAAAGAACAGTAATACAAATTTTAGCTTTTAAAGCATTTTACCTTACGACTTCAATGTACACGCGAAGTAGCCCAACGACGATGTCATCGAGTTCGTAGCGACGATTGTTTCAATGACATCATCCGCAGTTCTTTACCATTCATGCAAATATTTTGGAATCTGCCGGCGCTTATAGAGACACTGAGGTTTAATTTCATCCCTATTTAACATATTGCCTTGGGAATTTTTACGATGTTACACCTGAGTCCATTTAAATTGAAAGCCTACTGCTTTTAAAATTAGTCATCAATATCGTGTAGCATGTATCATCAAGCAAGAACACACAACGCAATCAGGACAAATATAGTCGCCAGCCAGTGCCACGAAGGGAGTGTAGTTGATAAGATTAGCTTTATTTGTTTTATGGGCCGTGTAAATGGTTTGGCTTCAGAAATACCCGTATATCGAGGGAACAAAATATTTCGATTGTTTAGGTAGATAGCCGCCATACAAACTGCTGATAAGATTAAAAAAGCGTACCAAGAACTGAGGTAAAAAATTGCTGCACCTGTAAGTGGGTCAAAAAACCACGAACCAACCAGCTACCTTCAGCTCTTAAGCCCCATAACTCAAATTACAGTAAGCTTTCAGAGAAACAAAATATGCTTTTCTCGGTTTTTGGTAGTATTTAAACATGCAGCAATATTATAAATATGTATATTAATTTGGGCTAAGACTAACCACAAATAATAGCTAATTTATTGTTCCTTTTTCCCTTTTAAACTTTATTATCCGTTATCCGTGGTCTCACAACGAAACAATGCATTAATCAGGACACATAAGCGTAAAGACATTTAATTACCTATTTAAGTACCACACGACCTTGCCCAAATATTTAAAAATACAACTTCTAATTTGTTAATTTTATTTTTTTTAGACGGCACAGCATGGCTTTCCTCACAAGCCATCTGCATTGGCATTTGATCCTGTTTCTAAGCTAATGGCGATTGGCACGCAAACAGGAGCAATAAAAGTATATGGCCAGCCCGGTGTAGAATTGTACGCACAGCACACGCTGGTAAACAATTCTGCAGCAGAGCTCAATGTTCAGCAACTGGAATGGGTCTACGGCACAGGCCGCATCCTCTCACTAACAGCAGCAAATCAACTAATATTGTGGGAGCCTGTTGGATCGACATTGGTGCCAATAAAAACACTGCCTTTCGACGGAAAGCTTAAAAAAGTATCTTCCCTTTGCTGTTCTTCCAACAATGATGTGCTGTGGATTGGAACGGAAGGTGGCAACATATACCAACTTGATCTGCATACCTTTACCATAAGGGAGCCTGTAGTTTACCATGACGTTGTGTTGGAACAGGTGCCCCCCACTTACAAGTTAAACCCAGGTGCAATTGAGTCAATTTGCCAACTTCCCAATGCGCCGAACAAACTGCTCATAGCCTATAATCGTGGCCTTTGCGTTTTGTGGGATTTCGAATTATCTTCCGTTGAACGAGCCTACATAGCCCCTGGACATGGGCAAAGCGTTGGCCTTTCAGTTAATATGGCTGGATCGGAATTTAGCTGGTATCATGCGGACGGTTCGTATGCAACCTGGAATATCGATAGCGCCGAACAGCCCCAAAATGTTAACTACGTCCCTTACGGTCCGGATCCATGCAAGAGCATTAATCGGCTGTATAAGGGCAAGCAAGGGTAAATATATTTTGTAATTTCAAACGACAAATAAATTAAAATAATTCTATACTTTTCAGATCCAACGATGTTGTTGTCTTTTCCGGTGGCATGCCGCGCTCGGCATATGGAGATCATAATTGCGTGTCCGTACACGTGAGCGATGGACAAAAAGTGTGTCTTGACTTTACGTCTAAAGTCATTGACTTCTTCGTCACCTTCAAAGATGACAGCGACGTTGCTGAAGTGTTGATTGTACTCCTGGAAGAAGAACTTTGTGCCTACGATCTAACGGACTCAAATATTTCCGCGATCAAGGCGCCATACCTTCACTCCGTGCACGCATCTGCAGTTACATGCAACTACTTGGCCTCCCAAGTCACTCAGAGCGTGTATGACAGGATTCTCAGAGCGGGCGATGAGCAAGATATTGACTACAGCAATATTGACTGGCCCATTACCGGCGGTGTTATACCGGATGACGCCGCTGACTCTGATAAGGAGGACGAGGCCCCCGGATATGAAATCCTTTTAACTGGCCATGAAGATGGTTCTGTTAAATTCTGGGATTGTACCGGAGTATTGCTGAAACCCATTTACAACTTCAAAACTGACATTATTTTTGGAAACGAACACGAATATCGGGAGGATGCTGCCGCAGATGTCAGTGCGGAACATCCTAATGCTGAACAACTGGATGAGGGAGAGCCGCCATTTCGAAAGTCTGGCCTCTTTGATCCATACTCCGATGATCCGCGGTTGGCCGTAAAAAAAATAGCGCTCTGCCCAAAGACTGGACAGTTAATTGTTGGCGGCACAGCAGGCCAGATTGTTATTGCAGATTTCGACGACACTTCCGAGGCAAAGAACTCTTTGAAATACAATTCCATGAATTTGGTCAGCGATCGCGATGGATTCGTATGGAAGGGTCATGATCAGCTAAATGTACGGCTAAACTTATTGGAAGAAACCGCCCGTCCTTTAACTGAGAACGGCGTAAACATAACAGGAGTGCTCCAGGTCTTGCCGCCAGCCAGTATCACTTGCATGGCCCTTGAAGCAAACTGGGGCCTTGTGTCTGGTGGAACTGCGCATGGGTTAGTGCTGTTTGACTTTAAGAATTTTGTTCCGGTCTTTCACCGCTGCACGTTAAATCCAAACGACCTCACTGGCGCCGGTGAGCAGTTGTCTCGTCGAAAGTCGTTTAAGAAATCACTGCGGGAGTCATTTAGGAAGCTTCGAAAGGGCCGATCAACACGGAACAATCCCACCAATCAAGTGCCAACGACTGTAAGTATCCTTCTTTTTCAAGAAGAATGCATTGTTCCTAGGAGTTTTATTCTATTTTTTTTTATTTATATATGCAGCTAGAAGCGCGCCCTGTTGAGCGACAAATAGAGGCACGGAATACTGACGACGGGCTGGGATCGATGGTGCGGTGTTTGTTATTCGCGAAAACATATGTTACAAACGGTGAGTGTTAATTTATACTATCGATTTTAATAGGCACCCAACCGTCAATTAATGTAAATCTAGGTGCAACTTGTTAATTGCATTCATTGAGTCCTAGAGATTTATGATGTAAATAATACTTTGTTTTAATAAAATGTTATATATACTTCATCTATTGCAGTCAACATAACGTCGCCTACTTTGTGGTCAGCAACAAATTCCAGTACAGTCTCCGTCTTTCTTCTGCACCTGCCGCCAGCGCAGACAGCTGCGACTTCAGTTCCGCCGGCAAGCGGGAATGCTCCTCCACAGACGCCTCGACGCATTTCCGCACAGCTTGCCAAAGAAATTCAATTGAAGCATCGTGCGCCTGTGGTGGGAATTTCTATTTTCGACCAGACAGGCTGCCCTGTAGATCAGTTGAACGCAGGAGAAAACGGAACACCTCCACATCGCCTTCTTATCGCTTCCGAAGAGCAATTTAAAGTCTTTTCACTGCCGCAATTGAAGCCGATTAATAAGTATAAGCTAACCGCCCACGAGGGTGCTCGCATTCGACGCATCCACTTCGGATCATTTAATTGCCCCATATCGCCGGAGTTGTTGCAAAGTCTTCACGCCAACAGCCCCACCAAGTCTACCCGATCACATGGCGATGGAGATGGGCCTGCCAATATCAGCGGAAGGTCGGCTGCTGGGCGTAGAGAATTGTACCACGAAATGGCTTTGATTTGCTTGACCAACATGGGAGATATTATGGTTTTGTCAGTGCCTGAGCTAAAAAGACAACTTAATGCCGCCGCCGTGCGACGTGAAGATATCAAGTAAGTAGCAGTTTTGGTAACCATATCACAAAATGAAATATTAATAATGTTTTTTTGTTCTTAGTGGAATTTCGTCGGTTTGTTTTACCAATGCTGGTGAAGCCCTATATATGATGTCTTCTTCTGAGCTGCAGCGCATAGCTCTAGCAACGAGCAAGGTTGTACAACCAACCGGCATTGTTGAAGTTGAGCCCTTAGAGAGCGAAGATTTGGTACTCGAGGCGAATGACGAGGAAGAAAGCGATAAGGAAAAGGACGTCAATATTGAGGTGGTTAACAATGGCGAGACCAAGGAGCTGCCGGTGGCTACGCAACGCTCGAAGCCAGTTGAATCTAGCGTAGATCGAAATAGCCTTCATCTAACCAATGGAGTGACAAATAATAACTCGCCAAGCCGTGCCAACGAGACCATCACCAGCTCTATAGGTGACATTACCGTTGACTCTGTACGTGACCATTTAAACACCACGACAACTACATTATGTTCGACAACTACAGAGGAGACTGTGGGTAAGTGAACCACGCATACCTAAGCAAATATTCTCTTCATCAGTGTGTTGTAATTGTAATTCGTAAATAGGCATACTTTTCTGTTTTTGTGTTACGCCATATCGATCATCAGCTCGGTTTTAATGCAATTATTCAAATTTTTAATCATTTATTTACCCTTTGATTTTAGATATGCGCCGCAACCGACAATAAATACAGTTCAATATTCTTAGTTTTAACACGGTCCCACTTTTTACCCAAAGTTATGCATGCCTCTTATATATATTATACTCTTTCATTATTATTTACGATGATATCCATATATAAATATAGGTCGCCTATCAGTGCTTAGCACGCAAACAAACCAAGCCACTACCACCGTGAACATGAATGACATTTCGGATATTAATATTCCCAACCTAATGGACTTGAAATCTAAAAGGTTACTATATCCCATTTTATATATTTTTATTGCTCTTCTAATTCTCTTAATCTCTAACTTTACCCAACAGCAACACTACGGAAACAAGCACTAGTTCGGTAGTAATAAAATCAATTATTACAAGCATATCACACGAAAAGACAAACGGAGAGAGCGAAATAAGAACGACGAGGACGACAGCGCACGAAGAAAGTGAATTTTAATATTAAAAGTATTAGTTTAACTATCAAGAAAATAATATGAGGTCAAAAAAACAGCAAGTGAAAAAGACCCGCAATTTAAACACATATTTTAAGCTTAAAAATATGGTATATTTTAATATGAATTTTAAGAAAATTGTTTTGTAATCAATTACTTTTTTAAAGCCTTTTGCCTTGGGCTTGTTTTTTCCACACATAACGAATATATAAGTAAAATAAGTACATATTATACATATTATTAATGAGGAATGGCCCGATATGTGGTGCACATTTAACCTTTTTAATTTAATGTGACTTTCATTTAACTGTTTTATTTTCTTGGAAAAGGGTATTCTTCATTTATTTGTAAGTACTGCCTTGTCTAAGTTCACAGCAGCAATCTCTTTTTAGCTAATGAAAGACTGTCAAACCCCAGTCCATTCCGATTCCCGCTAAACTTGAGGCTAAGCTTCTGGGCCTGCTTGAGGCGCTGATGCTTGGCCGCCCGCTTGGCCTTGCTCTCCCGCTCCTTCTCCTCCTTCACCTGCGACTTGGAGGGACCCAGCGCCGGCCGCTGCTCCGGCTAATCCCCGAGGTAGAAGGAGGAGGATGACGAGGCCGTAAAGTTGACATTTCCATCCGAGAACTTGGTGTTGATGACCGTCGGCTGACCGCTGGCAGAGGTCGTGGTAGTGGTTGTATTGGTATTGATGGAGCTGCCGCTGGCCAGAAGCGAGTGCTCATGACTCTGCGACGCCTCGGCGGCGAAGGCTTTTCCACGGCCACCGGCAGCGACAGGAAGTACTCGTGCCGCTACGACACGTTGTGACAGTCCTGGCAGGTGAGTATCTTTTCAATTTGGAAAGGCTGGTGCGAACCCTAGGTCGGGTGCAGCGCCAGGAAAAAACATGCATTTTATTTTTACTTTTCCGAAAAACAATAACAAAAAAAAAGTGTGACCCGTGAGGGTGTAAAGAAAATCCTAAATATTGATATTTACACAGCCTTATAATTTTAGTATTATTGCATCGTGATATATCGAACATCGATATTTTAAAGAAATACCTTAATATTTCCTCGTAAGGCACACTTTGCGACCTTACGTTAACGTTATTTACATTAATACTACATGAAAACACGTGGGTCGCATTTGTATGTGCATGCCAGTCCGGAAACTAATAGCAAAAGGATAGTACAGCAGGTCAGGATGTAAAGAAAAAAAAGAATAGCAAAAATATAGTACGGCCGCTGAGGGTGTGAAGAATATTTAAAAATATATATATTTACACAGACTAATATTTTTAGTATTTATGCATCGGGATATATCGAGCATCGATATTTTAAAGAAGTACCTTAATATTTCATCGTAAGACACTATGCAGCCTTACGTTAACGTTATTTACATTAATACCAAATAAAAACACGTAGGCAACATTTGACGTAGGGGAAAACATAGTGTGGCCGACAGAATATGCTAGATGAATTTTAAGAAAAGCTATATTTTCAGCTAAAAGCTAGTTTATAATATGCAAAAACTAGCTTATAATAAGCTAAACTGGCAATACTTTCCACTGACGATCTGGTTCTTTTGGTCGCTCGGACAGCAAAGCCTGGCAACGCTATTGACTAGGTCACGGAAGGTCTGGCAACGCTGTTTTCAGTTCACAGAATGTCTGGCAACACTGTTTCTAGTTCACGAGGCGTCTGGCAACACTGTTTACTGGTTCACGAGAAGTCTGGCAACACGAGTTACTAGTTCACGGCAAGTCTTGCAACACGATTTACTAGTTCGCAGGATGTCTGGCAACACGGTTTACTAGTTCACAGGAGGTCTGGCAACACTGGATGCAGCATACCAGTGTTGCCAGACTTTTCGTCTCAAGCAACCAATAGTACCAGATCGTCAGCTAAATAAATCGCCAAAAAATACCAGTACTTAGTTGGCTATAAAAATATCGTGACTTGGTATTTTTCAAGTATGTTCTTCTGGTCACACTAAGCCTCGCCCTATATAAGACGGGCAGCAGCAGTGGCGAAGCCAGTAGGCTGTTGACCGGCGAGCGGTCAAGTACTCCGGGGGAGGAGTAGCTGGAATCCTCCCCCGGATGGAACGACTGACGGTCAAGTACTCCGGGGGAGGAGTAGCTGGATTCCTCCCCCGGATGGAAAGACTGGCGGTCAACTACTCCGGGGGAGGAGTAGCTGGAATCCTCCCCCGGATGGAACGACTGGTCGTCTGGGGCCCCACCTCGGACTCTCGGCGCGTCCACCGGGACTGGAGGTCACCCCGTTCTCCGAGCGCTTCCGCTGGAACTGGAGGCCACCTCGTGCTCCAAGCACTTCAGCCAGCACTGGAGGTCACCCCGTGCTCCAAGCGTTCCCACCGGCACTGGAGGCCACCCCTTTCTCCAGGCGTTCCAACCGGCACTGGAGGCTACTTCGCGCTCCCACCGGCACTGGAGGCCACCACGTGCTCCAAGCGCTTCAGCCGGCACTGGAGGCCACCACGTGCTCCAAGCATTTCTACCAGCACTGGAGGTCACCCCGTGCTCCAGGCGTTCCCACCGGCATTGGAGGCCACCACTTGCTCCAAGCCCTCCCGGCGGCACTGGAGGCCACCAAGTGCTCCAAGCGTTTCAGCCGGCACTGGAGGTCACCCCGTGCTCCCACCGGCACTGGAGGTCACCCCGTGCTCCCACCGGCACTGGAGGCCACCACGTGCTCCGAGCGCTTTCGCCGGCACTGGAGGTCACCCCGTGCTCCAGGCGTTCCAACCGGCACTGGAAGCTACCCCGTGCTCCAAGCGCTTCCGCTGGAACTGGAGGCCACCCCGTGATCCCACCGGCACTGGGGGTCACCCCGTGCTCCCACCGGCACTGGAGGTCACTTCGTGCTCCCACCGGCACTGGAGGCCACCACGTGCTCCAAGCGCTCCCGGCGGCACTGGAGGCCACCCCGTGCTCCAAGCGCTTCCGGCGGTACTGGAGGCCACCCAGTGCTCCAGGCGTTCCAACCGGCACTGGAGCCGGGCGGTTCTGTACGTCCGTGATGACTTTGTTCGTCCGTGTAAGTGTTTTTTTATCCTGATATATTATTGATATAATTTAAGAACTGCCTTTAAATTTAAATTAAAAATTTGGCGGTTAAATTAATTTATTGACTAACCGATCTAGAAAATGGCGACACCAGTATTGCCAGACAAATATTTCAATTTAAATTCGAAATTGGCGGTTAAATTAATTTTTAGTATTTTTTTACACTGATATATTATCATCGATATATTTGAAAAACTGCCTTAAAATTTAAATAAAAAATTTGGCGGTTAAATTAATTTATAGTATTTTTACATCTCGATATATTAATCATCGATGTTTTTGAAGAAGTACCTTTAAATTTAAAATTGGCGGTTAAGAGCGACCAATAGTACCAGATCTTCAGCTGAATATATCGGCAAAAAATACAAAAAATTAGTTGGATATAAAATATCGATACTTGGTATTTTACAAATATATTCTTTTGGTCACACTTAGCATCGCCCTATATAAGACGAGCAGCTGCAGTGGCAAAGCCAGTAGGCTGTTGACCGGCGACCGGTCAAGTACTCCGGGGGAGGAGTAGCTGGAATCCTCCCCCGGATGGAACGACTGACGGTCAAGTACTCCGGGGGAGGAGTAGCTGGAATCCTCCCCCGGATGGAACGACTGGCGGTCTTAGTACTCCGGGGGAGGAGTAGCTGGAATCCTCCCCGGGTGGAACGACTGGCGGTCTTAGTACTCCGGGGGAGGAGTAGCTGGAATCCTCCCCCGGATGGAACGACTGGTCGTCGCATCTGCGTCCCGGGCTCTCGCCGCCGCCGGCACTGGACGCCACCATGGACTCTAGGCGCCTCCACCGCCACTGGATGCCACTATGGACTCTCGGCGCCTTTACCGGCATTGGACGCCACCATGGACTCTCGGCGCTCCGGACTCCAGGCGCCTCCACCGGCACTCGACGCCACGCCGGGCTCTAGGCGTTTCCTCTGCCACTGGACGCCACCCCAGGATCTAGGCGCTTCCACCTGGACTGGAGGCCACAGGGTGAGCTGTGCGTTCGTATGGGAGTCAGGCGCCTCCGCGGGAACCGGGAAGTTCCGTTCGTCTTCACTGGAACCGGGCATCCGTGTGGATTCGGAGCGCCTTTTCGAATATCGGGCGGCAGTGTGCGCGCGTTGGGCTCCGGGAGCCTTTACGGAAATCGGGCGATAGTGTGCGCGCGTGTTGGCTCCAAGAGCCTTTACGGAAATCGGTTGGTAGTATGCGCGCGTGTGGGCTCCAAGAGCCTTTGCGGTAATCGGTCGGTAGTATGCGCGCGTGTGGGCTCCAAGAGCCTTTACGGAAATCGGTCGGTAGTATGCGCGCGCGTGTGGGCTCTAAGAGCCTTTACGGAAATCGGTCGACAGTATGCGCGCGTGTGGGCTAAAAGCTCATTTTCGGAAATCGGGCGGTAGTGTGCGCGCGTGTGGTCTTAGGACGCCCCAGCGGAACTGGTCGTCTGTGTGGGCTCCAAGCCCCTTCACTGGATTTATCCCAGGTGTCATCCCCTGAAGAGGATTGTAAAGGATGTATATTGTGGAGCCAAGCACGCTTTCTTTCGGAACACAGGTGAGTTTTTCCATAACTTTTTAATACACTTCCAATAATTTGTCTATAACCATCGGATATTCCGATGACAGTTTTTCCATTTTTTTTTTATAAAATAAAGTTTTTTTGGTTTCTTTACAACTTTGATTCTACAAGTTATAGTCTACTATTATCGTATATCTAAACAACGTGTAGTAAAGGTAAAGGAAAGTTAACATTTCAATTTACATTAGTTTATTTGCCGGGTCGGCAGCTCCCGGATAGTGACTGTCCTTAGTCGTCATTTTCCTCGTATAGCAGGCAGTACATTGATGGCCACATTCCATTTACAGGCCCAGTTGTCAAATTTCTTCAGTAGTGTCTGAAGTTTGCCTGTTGCACTATAGACGCAGCTGGATCTTGCCAGAACTGCGGTATCATTTGCATATCTTGCAGCACACGCGCTCACTGCTTAGGTGCGTACCCTTTTAATAACTTGTCTATAACATTCGGATATTCCAATGTAAGTTTTTCCCATAACACTTTTCCTATACCAGTTTTTGGATAACATTTTTCCGATAGCAGTTTTTGGATAACATTTTTGCGATAGCAGTTTTTGGATAACATTTTTGCGATAGCAGTTTTTGGATAACATTTTTCCGATAGCAGTTTTTGGATAACATTTTTCCGATAGCAGTTTTTGGATAACATTTTTCCGAT